TGTGTTTTCTCAATTCCTGTGAAATTTGAAATTTATTTTCTCGGTTCTTTAGTGTTATTACAGATAACTAATTATATCTATAGCTCTTGAAAAGTATACAAAAGAATGCGATATTGCTTAAAATATTCTAGTCGAAGGTTTTTGTCCACTGAAAATTAAAATTACTCAATTTCCTGCTGGATTCCATCTTAATTCCTTACTCATAAAGTAAATCCTGTAGGCTCTAAAGTGCACATACCGTAAAATTTCGAAAATAAGCCCCTCCCTGTATAAGGCCCCCAACCTCGTAACGCAAAAAAGCCCCCGTTAAATCGCCCCTCCAAATATAAGCCCCCCGGGGAGCTTGTACTTGGAAACTGCCCTCAAATACCAAGCAAAACAAAGAGAAAAGGTAAATTTACTTCCAACTATGAGGCTAGCCCAATCGATTTTGAAACGCAAATTTCCCTCCGTACATAAGCCTCTTCGAATATAAGCCTCTCCAAAAATAAGCAACTCAAAAAGGGCCTTTGAAAAATATAAGCCCCGGGGCGTATTTTCAGAATTTTACGGTATTAAGTAGACTTGAGTAGTGTAGTCTACAGAAGGCCGGCCGGTATTGATTAAGGTAATTTGATAATTGCAATAAGGTTTTATTGGCTTTCGGTTGCCGTGTTGATGACAACTTTTAAGAAGCAAATATTATAGTGAAAATTTCGCAGGCCACAAGCTGTCATTGTATTGACATGAAAAACACTAAAAGGGCACAGGTGCATGGAGTCTTATACAAAGATAGAGAGACTGACTTACTTTGGACTCATCAAAGCGTGCGAAATAAAGTTTACGTATATGAAAGAATGATCAAACAGTGGTTGTCGAACACTCATAGTCCCTCATCGTTTTGCTCTTCGTTGAATTATAGATCACACGGAGAAATGCGGATATTTCTGTCCATTTCCTAGCCATACTCGATCAACAATTTAAAAACAATAACAATAAAAACAGATAAAATCTTTTCAGGAGGTCGATAGTAATTATTTTAAAATTGGGGTGGAGATGGGAAGAACGGATTTGCAAACTTCCCGCGACTCCGGTATCATGAATTCCCGGCTCCCGCTCCAAGCTTTTTCTTGGCTCCCTCCCTTAGCCATTTTCGATTGCGACTAAAATATTTAAAGGATTGTTGCGTATAATTTCCCTTTCTATTTCTCCTGCTTCCCACCATTTAAGAATTCCCAACTCCTGCCCTTCCTCCCGTACCCGTCACCTCCCGTATTTACCCGGGCTCTCCTCGCCTGTCCTCCCCGACTTAATTTTCCAGTGCTTGATTGACCAGGAAGCTGTTTTACTTGAACGGAAAGTTAGGCTAGTCTTGAATGGGCGTGCTGTACACATTTCTCACTGAACCTCGCATGGTGGCAAAGAGGTTCTGTTTGGTAACATTAATTATAAAGCTGATTAAACAAGTAATGTTTCTTCTGTCCATGTATTCATTATCTAACAGAAAGCGGAGATAGTGACGGTCCGCCAAACTATATATTGCGGGAGTGTAAAAACTGCCGGTGAGAGTACCCCGGTCACAGAAAACAAATATTCCTCGGGGAACTGAACGGAGACTAACAGATCGAGGCTGAACAGGCGGACATTTCCTAATGCAGAGTTGTTCATGTTTTATGCACAGGCAAGCAGCGAACAGGCGAGAACCTACATTCTACTGAAAGAGAAATATCTGACGATGAACGGCTTTATAATGATTTTTAGTAATGAAAACATCGTTAGCAATGCGTCACATTAACAATATCTTTAGGCAGGCTCAGACATTCATAAGTATTCAATTTAACCAAAAGAACAGGTGCGGAAACAAGAATTATTTACATGAAAGATTGGCTAATGACCCGCTGAAAGCAGTAGTATCTATTGTAAACACTGAAGAGGTTCGGGTTGGGGTTGAGAGGGTGGGGGCTGGCTTTGCAATGCAGCCGTATCACGTCGCTCCTCACCACTAGGAACGTCCCAACCGCTGAGTCGTCCTCAGTCTTCTGACAGTCTCCTATTAGTATTGTTAGGGAGTTTTAGCAACGACGATGGCGATGGCAGCGAGACCGTCAAAACAGCAATAGCTGTATTAAGCAAGAGAACGGGTTTGCACGTGCATTACGCTTTCCTGTACATTTCTTAGCCGTTACTGCACGACTACGACGTGAAAATGCCTAATTTCACGTTTTATGGAGGACGTAAACAAGCGACGACGAAAGTTTCTTTCTCTTTCTTAACTTGAAGGCGGTCCCCAAGAAATCAACTCTAGAGAAATTTGCCTACTTTAGACATTCTCAGTGAACTGGAATAAACGAGAGAAAGTTTGAAAAAACGCCAATTCATTTAAAAAGTGACGTTTTAGCTGCCGTCGCCGTCGTCGATGCTAAAACTCCCTAATAATTATGGAGCTTAAGCAACGGCGAAAGCGACGGCAACAAGTTTAGCAAAAAACCAACAGGAATAGATTGGTAAAAAAATAACTTTCCACGTGTATCGCGCTTCTTTGTACATTTTTTATCCGTCACTGCACGACTACGACGTGAAAATGCCTAGATTTCGCGTTTTGTGGAGATCTTGAACACAAGACAACGACTTTCCTTTTCTTTTTCTAACCTTCGGTACAGTTATTTAGAATGCAGCTCCCGAAAAAATTTGCCAGCATTTGACGAATTGATCGAGATGGAATAAGCGCCGATAAAGTTTGAAGCATCCCAGTCACATTTTAAGTGACTTTTTCGTAGCCGAGAGATGCGCAGGGGAGAACCAGGAACGATGGAAAGAAAGAAAGAAAGAGGGGAGTCTTCACCTTTCGTTTTCCTCCTTCCCATCTCGCGCTCCCTTCAGTCACGCTTCTAGCGTTGCGTCTTATCTCGTCCTCCGCGTGCAATCCAAGTAAAGACCACTGGGCACCAGTCAATCCAGGACAGAAACCTTTATCGGCCCTGACTCAATTACCTAGCGGCGAAGGGCAAGGAGAAGCAATTGTGTTGCAGTCGCAGGCTAGGTGGCGGGCATACTCTCTCGAAAATTTTTTTCAGATGTACAGTTTCCAGCATTCTTCAGGGGTCAATCAAAGCCAATTTTTATTACTGAAATCATTCTACTTTTGCTCCCTTTTGAAATTTATGTGTCCAAAACAGTAGCCCAAATTTACAGGCTCCTGGTCCTAAACTACTCACTGTCGTTTATTTTTCAAGTTCCGAGTTGCTGGATTATTTTCGACTGCACATACGCTTCCAGTGTAGTGGTAATATAATCGAACATATTCAAGACCATTTTTGCCTCCGCAAAAGGACAATCATTTACCCTATTACAAACTTTATATGTGTTATACAATTGCAACCAGATGGGTTCTTGTTCGAAATAAGCAACAAATGAGTTATAAAAAAGTTATGTTAACTCTTAGAAAAGGGAGGGAAGTGGAATAAATAATTTATCATTGAGTGTCGTTCTATAAAATGACGAACAATTACTCGTTTTACGTACTCGATGTACTTAAGTAATCCCTTCTAGCTGTTGTTGTAAATTACTGTAAAAGTTGTTTTAAGATTGAGATAAGGGCTATTTTAAAATCATCATCATCAACAACAACAATAATATATGCCTTAATATATGCCTGATCCGGAAGTTCAACCTAAAATGAATCGACAACTGACGCCACAAAGTTAAGCAGTCTTCTTAACATTAAACGCACTAAAAGACTGGAGGGTATATCTACTTGGTGACAGGGCGTGCTGTGTCTGGCGAGCAAGATCACGCTAGTACCAAACACAATTTCCAGCACTCTGTAAAACTGAATGCAACCTTAATATGAAAGCTGGCAACTGACCGTTATTTTTTTGCAAATTACCCACCGAACACTGAAAGGAGCACTGCTAGATTAATATCGATTTATACCGTAAATAAATGTCGTATTGCCCAGCTGTACCCAGGTAGTACTATTAAAATCTAATTGAAGATTCTAGAAGTTGATTTCGTGTTGCATCGGAAAAAGGGAAACCCATTTAGCTGATATCAAATTAACTATCCAAATTACTAATGAGTTTTTGTAAAAAGGGGGAAAAGAAGCAAAAAACAAATAAATATACGAAAAACAAAAAGACGAACGATTTTAATTTCAGAGCGAAAAAGGAAGTGGAGTAATATTTTTTATTTACCCTTTCTTTACAAAGATCTTGATTCAGATGCCAGTCAACATGAGTCCATAAGCATTACTTTTTGACATTAGCAATATGCTAACTCTTCTAATTTGAGGGTAAATGAAACTTACATATGCCCTATGGGCCAAAGTATCTTATTTTATTCACAGCAGTCGAGCTTTTTAGCCCACGTCGTCGCCAGATTGCTTAAATGGAAGCTGAGATATTATTGTATACCGCAAGAAATTTCTTTCGATTCGTTTCCTTTAATGTTTCAATCTAAATTGAGATTTACCGAGACACAGTGGAAGCCGCCTGATTAATACACAGTGAGATTTTTGGGGGGGCTTAATAAATAGATGATCCAGGCCAATATCCAATGAGAAATATTGGCTAAAAAGAATCAAAAATCGTACTATTGGTCAATGGTAGCAACAATTATATTCTACTGAACAATCTCTTGCTATTCCTCCGAATACAAACCGACAATATGGTTAAAACATTTAATTTCTTTTATCCACCTTCTCTACGCTGCTTTGTCTTTGGTGGCAAATTACATGATCACTGTGAATAATTAGGAAATTCATTTTTCCCATACAATAGCTGCGTCAAGAGAATACCGACGAAACCCGCGGGCTACGATCCTTGAAACTGAAAGTAAGTCACGCTCTAGTTGCTGAAAACAACTATCGAAGCAACACCTGTCCTATCCCGGACTTGGCAAGACTTTCCTTGAGAAGAAAGAAGCTGTTCAAAAAAACACAAGCCACGGAACTGCCGGAGATATATATAAGAATCCATTTGAGTTCTCTTCCGTTCGTCGTTTCTTGGTAGACGACTTTTTAAATGCCGAACCAGAACTTGACAAATCATTCTGCATTCTCTCTTGAATGCTTCAATCTGGACATTAATTTAGAGACAACAAAAACACTGCTCGTCGCGCACATTTTAACATCGATCATCAACTTTCTTTCATCTCTTTCGGCTGTGATTGGTAATGCAGCCATAATTTTCGCGGTATGGAAGACCCTGGCTCTTCAAACGCCTTCGAACATTTTTCTCTGTTGTTTGGCGTTCAGTGACTTTACCGTTGGCCTGCTCGCTCAACCTGCTTTTGTCGTCCACAAAATCGGCGAAATCTCCAAGATTTTCAACATATACTGCACGACCAGGATTCTCTTAGAATCCCTCGGGTTTCTAACGGCTGGAGCTTCGGTTTGTACCATGACAGGCATTGCTATCGAAAGATATCTAGCACTCTACCTACATTTGCGTTACAGGCAAGTGATTACCACAAAGCGGATACTTGGTGTTGTTGTGTTGATTTGGGCCTTTTATATTTTGTTTGCCGCGTCTAGGTTCTGGATTGCAAATGACACAATTTTTAACAATATCTTTATTTCAATAATACTTGCTAACTTAATTTTATCATTCCTGGCCTACGCTAAGGTTTTTAAGTACGTTAAGCGACACGAGAATCAGATAAAAGAGCAAAACACAGGTCGCCCAGAGTTTGGTGCGGTAAATCACCGTTTACTCAGGATGAAACGTTACAAGAAGTCTACCCTGACAATGTTATACATCATTGGAATCTTCATTATCTGCTATATACCTTTACTTTGCGTCAGAATTCTTTACAGGACGGAAGGCTATACCGCAAATGTAAAGACAGCTAATCTTTATACCACCACAATCGTGTTCCTGAACAGTTCATTGAACCCAATGGTTTATTGCTGGCGTATTTCTGATATCCGTAGTGCAGTCAAAGAAATCTGTTTGCGCCAACGTTTTAGATGGAAAAGTGAAGTTGTCGTTTTAAAATCAAGCGCAGAATTTCCTCGAAGGTCTAGAATTAGCAGTTTAAACATTACGCGCGCCTCAGTTAGCGTAATGCCTCATTTTAATGGGTGATAGCAATAGCTCGGACAAAAAAAAACATTTCGCTATGACGGAAGTACGAGACTCAAAAGTAAAAGTATTCATTTTGCAAGGCAAAGAGCCCGAGTAGTCTTGAAGTTTTTGAATTTTAACAATAAACTAGAGTGACAGATCTTCCTTGTGTAATAAAATTGTGTCCTTGTTTGCGTAAGTTAATTTAAAAATTCGACAGTTTGAGATTCCACTTTAAAAGTAGATTTCTTTTTTGTTAAAAGTGCTGTGTTTCAAGTAAGAATCTGGAATTAGACTGATATGTAAAATTTCGAAAATGACGCTAAACATCAAATGCACTAAACTGCAATACTTTGAGAGGTCTCTCTAGCTAAAAGCGTCTTGTGACATTCATCTAGGAAAGGTGTTAATTAATTCTTATTTTGATATTTATTCTGAAAGTCACCTTGAATTAGTTGCTGATGATTTAATATCGGTATTATTTAAAGCGGAATTTTCGTAGGTTGTATGAGCAAACGCTTATCGGATACATATAAAAATACGAAATAAAACCAAAAAAAAGCAAAACAGAGATAGCAGTGTCAGAGAATAAAGTATAAAAAAGCTCTAGGTCTGAGCTAGGAAAACGTTCAGTTTATTAAAATGTATACCATATATAAAGTGTAAACATATGTAGATTAATATAAATAATTGAACCTCTCCGCAACCACAGACACTTTTTTGTTCTGGAAGAAAACGATGTCTCCAATGTATCTTATTCACAATTTTTCAAACTCGTTAATTTTACAAGTGAACACAAACGACTTCCGTTTGGCTCCGCCCTTGTACGAGAAGCTGACCGTGTGTGGATTATGGCATAATTATAAAAAAGGATTGCAGGTGACGCCCCCTGTGACGCTCAATGTTTAGACGCCTTGAGGCATTTAAATATTATATTAATCAGACCACTTTGTTTAACTTAAAACGTCCCATGGCAAGGTAAGAGAAAAAAAATATCGATGAAATTTGGAGCTAAACCTTCCGACGGATTAAGCAGTCACCCCAGTGCATTTGGGTACTGCCGGCAAGTGGAGGTTCGTCATAAATTAGCATAATCTTAAGCAGAAACATCAACTTTAAAAAAAAAACAAACAAACAATCGTGACTCGCGACGGGAGCGGTATAACTGGTCCATAACCACAGTCGTCACCTTTCATCTTGGACTATATTTTCCCTCATCATACATTTTCGAAATAAAGTCAAACTACTGAAATAAATAAATGGGTCAAACGCGAACTCTCGTCAGGAAAGACAAGGCCGCGGCTATGAAGGCCCGTTCTGGTCAAAATTGCATGATTAATTTTTCCCTCTTGATGAATTAATTTGATGAGTACCTGCTATTAATATTTTGTCTGTTTGTAATTATTTTTTCCTATGCCTGTAATTATTTTCGTGTTCTTTTTAACTTTTCCATGCGTCACAATTATTTTTTCCTCACCAGGAATTAATTTTTTTATGTGCCGTCTTTATTATTACGCTTCTTTGAAATTATTTTTGTCCATTACACAAATTATGTTACGGTTGCCGATTAGTTTTTTGTCTGCTATAATAATTTTTTTGGGATAATTAATTGATTTTGTCCTACGCAACTCATAATATAATGATAATTTAATTTTTTCCATTCGAGAATTATTTTTTTCTTAGTCATAATTATTTTTTTGTAGTTTTGGCAAATGTCCCATACGCCTCTGCGGTAATGCACCGGTTATTCTTTCATGTTACGCTTACGCCAAATAGACCTACTGTTTCATATAACAGTAATAGAATGTCCATTCTCCTGTATACCCATGTATACCCTGTATACCCTGTATACCCATGTATACCCTGTATACCCATGTATACCCTGTATACCCATGTATACCCTGTATACCTATGTATACCCTGTATACCCTGTATACCCATGTATACCCTGTATACCCTGTGTACCCTGTATATCCCGTATACTTACGTATACCCTGTATACCCTGTATACCTATGTATACCCTGTATACCCATGTATACCCTGTATACCTATGTATACCCTGTATACCCTGTATACCTATGTATACCCTGTATACCCTGTATACCCATGTATACCCTGTATACCCATGTATACCCTGTATACCCATGTATACCCTGTATACCCATGTATACCCTGTATACCCATGTATACCCTGTATACCCTGTATACCCATGTATACCCTGTATACCCATGTATACCCTGTATACCCATGTATACCCTGTATACCTATGTATACCCTGTATACCCTGTATACCCATGTATACCCTGTATACCCTGTGTACCCTGTATATCCCGTATACTTACGTATACCCTGTATACCCTGTATACCTATGTATACCCTGCATACCCATGTATACCCTGTATACCTATGTATACCCTGTATACCCTGTATACCTATGTATACCCTGTATACCCTGTATACCCATGTATACCCTGTATACCCATGTATACCCTGTATACCCATGTATACCCTGTATACCCATGTATACCCTGTATACCTATGTATACCCTGTATACCCTGTATACCCATGTATACCCTGTGTACCCTGTGTACCCTGTATACCCCGTATACTTACGTATACCCTGTATACCTATGTATACCCTGTATACCCTGTATACCCTGTATACGCATGTATACCCTGTATACCTATGTATACCCTGTATACCCTGTATACCTATGTATACCCTGTATACCCTGTATACCCTGTATACCCATGTATACCCTGTATACCCATGTATACCCTGTATACCTATGTATACCCTGTATACCCTGTATACCCATGTATACCCTGTATACCTATGTATACCCTGTATACCCTGTATACCCATGTATACCGTGTATACACTGTATATCCATGTATACACTGTATACCCTGTGTGCCCGGTATACCCTGTCTACCCTTTAGTAAAAAAATCATGTTTGATATACAAAATAAATCTTTTATGTAAACAATTTAATATTGAGAATAAATCAGTTACTTTAAAAAAAAAACCTTTCTGCTTTCCTACAGTTTGTCAGTACATTTTAAAAACCACCAAGTGAATCTGATAAGTGCAAACAAAAAAACTAAACTTCTACTCCACCTATACAAACGAAAAAAAGTACTCTGAATTCATTTAGCATATCAGGAAGCCTGAACATAAACGCATCGCCTTCAAATTTAAGATAGGAAATCACAAATCTGAAAGATTTACAATCCGCAAAACTCCCGAAGACCTAAGAATTTGTGATCACTGCAGTCTAAATTGTTGAAAGTTAAATACACCTATTATTTCATTGGTCCTTAAAAAGTCTCTTTTCACTAAAATGAATGACGAAATACGTTATTTACAAATTAAAATACTAATGATAAAATCTGTTTTCTTTTTAATATTAATACTGATTCGTACATGCGCAAGCTTACTGCTACCTTCGTCTTCCAAGCATTTGAGAGACGAAAGAAGAATAATGATAATAATAATCGATAAATTATCCTTTTTGATCCTCTTGGACAACATCCGGCTTTTCGCGCCAAAAAAAGAAAATTGTACTGTCATTTGTGCGCTGAAGATGGAAGATGTTCTTTGCTATCAAGGGGAAGCGTCAATGAATGGAATAATGCAACATGAGGAGCCGCATAAAGTCCCTTTACTAATTACGCTGAGTGACGGTTGCTATGCTCAATTTCCTGTTATAATTTTACCTCCGATCTCGTGCAGGCTAGCAGGGGTCAGACTGGCTGTCATCGATAGGGATTTTCACAGAGGCGATGAAACAATCCTAAATTTCGCAACTGTCTGGTAATATGGTTAAAACAGTATTAGCCGGGGTAAATATAGTCGAGCGCGGTCTATTCAACTATTCTCCGGATCCGATCATCCCAATCAAGCCATCATTGTATGGAGTATATGTGAATTTTTTTTTAGGGTATCCCGGTCGAGAATTTCTGTGTTGATTCAAACTCATTTCCCTTAGAAGCTTGTTGGTATTTGAAAGAAAATTTTAACAGATCGAACAGGTTAGCAGAGTTCCAAACTGAGATGGCCAGCCTTCCTTCGTCACATTGGTTCACTTTCAGAAGCGAGGCCATTTCAGCCTTAAATCAGTAGGTTTACCTTGCGACACATTAATTCTGTTTTTTTTTATGACTTGCTTAATCGTAAGACACCTTGAAGGTAAGGACAATGTTCGATCTTTTTCCTTTAATTTATTTATTTCTGCCTCGAATATATCCGCGCCAAAACCTCCTAAATGCCCGCCAAATTTAATGTGGCGCGCTCGGGAGTGATCGTACAGTGTTTAGGAAGAAACAGGCCCAGCACAACTTCCACTGGAGGCACTTTTGTGTTACTGCAAGAAGTACCCTTATAAAGAAGTCGAAAAGCTTTTCTATTATTAATTTCGTGCTACATTTTCTGGATAAACAATGGAATGTGTTGAAAATTGTAGACATCCGTGTTTCATAATCCACGTACACACTTAGCGGCCAAATTGCTACATATTTTATCTTTTTACCGCTGTTTTGCTTGTTGCCGAAGTTTAAATGCTACATCATGATCCAGTGCGATTTATTGTTGTCGTTACACGCTCAGATCTTTAATTTGTTTGAATTAATGAGAAAATTATCTTGTAGTCTGTAATTATGCGTAGTATTGCATTGTTGAATGCGTTCACTGCCTATGAAAACAATCGTTTTCCTAGTAGTATATCGGATAGGCCAACTGACTCCCACTGGTGGCAAATTGTGCTACAAAACCATAAATAAGGGATATTCGAAGTATAAACCTCACAAAAGCTTTTGATTTTGATCAACAACGAAATGAGTGACTAAAACGCGTTAAAAATAACACATGCTCGTGTTACAGAGAGGGGGTTGAGTGTTGCTCGTTATTTGTAAGTCTCTGAATCTTAGCAGCTTTCTTTTTCTTTTCTATAATTTTTACCGGGGAATCGAAATGAATTTTAGTTGATTGGTTGCGTCCATCGCGGTTCCCCCCCTATTTGTTTTTCAAAAAAAAAAAAAAACACCATTGCAAGAACCTGTACGTTCTCTATTATTTTTCATTAACAGCCAGAGAGCTTTAATTCACCGAAACTAAAACAGATTCATAAAATGTACATGGTTCAGGGTATTCTGTACGTGCCTTTTATGTTGGGTGTGTCGCCTGATTAAAAGCGAGCGATCGGGTGAGTCGCCTTCGCTTAGTGCAAGAAGACTTTGTACAACATGTATATTTAATGAATCTTTCTGTAAAGAACGAGGCGGCCTAGAAAGCTTGAAAAATAGTTTTTGAAACGTCTTGCCAAATATGTTTTTATTTTGTTTGGGGATTGCTAAAATTGCGTTTCAACTAGACGCTGTAAAATTCGCAATTGAACTTATTCTTCGGATTCAAAACAATGACCAAAGTTCCGTCTGCACGTGCTCTTTTGGGTGAGTCGCCTGAAAAAGCAAGCGATCGGGTGTGTCGCCTTCGCTTAGTGCAAGAGAACTTGGTTTTTATTGGTTATGGCTCGCAAGTCCGTTTTGAACGAAATAAATGGTTTCAGTCATAATTAATGAACATCATATAGGTGACCTTACAAGTTTGTATTATAAGAAAAATATAAGAGCCTTTTTACGCCGCGAACAGGATGAAATAGAAAACTTCACCGGCCTTTTCTCCAAAAAAGGGAATAGTCCCGCTTTAAATTCTGCTCCCCAGAAAAAGCTACAATGAAAATTATTTAAATTTATAGTTTAAATTCAATCAAATTTATTTAAATCGCTGCACTTCGTTCATTTGTGGTAAATAAATGCATATTGATTCTGAGGTATCCCCGGTTAGATAATTTGTGCAAAACTCCTCTACACCGCCACAAGTTTTCCGAGTGGTGCGCTGTTTCGGAGTGATTTTTATTTCACCAGGTTCTTTTCTTTAGTTGTGTTCGTCTCATCAGCTCAGCTTTATTATTTCTGTAGTGTCTGCTAAAATGATCCATTGAAAGATATGTCGAATAAAGCTTCAGTAGGAGGTCACGAAAGGAGATTCGCATTTCACCTCAAGTATGGTTTCAAGCTGTCAACGGTCTATGCTTGGCTGAATTTAAACAATGGCTTCCTGGTCAGATGGGGGACAAATTTTCCCCCATATTTCGGTCGCTAAGGCTTGCGGCTCGCCATGAAAAGACAGATCAAATCCCCGAATGTTGTTCGACGTTGAAAGTCCAGTGTTGCTTGTTAGCAAAGTATATAAATGTGAGCATGGTCATGATATACCCGCAAGCTATTTCCACGACACCTCAGAGGATTATACGTGCGTGCCATTTGTTCTCACACACCGATCTGGTATGACTATGCGGCTGGCAGATGAAATTGAAGATTTATTAGATAGAGGATTGGCAATATCGGCTGTTAAAGAGCTCATAAAAGAAAGGTACAAAAGAACATTAAGAAACAGGTTGCTCCGATTTCTAAATGACGCGCACCAAGCGAAAGAATTGGGGTTCACACAGTCAGCTGAGGAGTTAAATTTTGACGTTCCTGGGAACCTTTTTCCCTGCCCAGGTGACAACTTGATAAGAAGCGTTTATCCAATCGGGAACGTTTTCAGGTCCGCTAGGCGATCTTATACCTCTAGCAATCGCAAACGTTATTCAAATACCTTTATTTGTCTTAAATCCAAGTTTTTTGACTCCTTTTGTGATGATTTCTCCTGAAGGGATGGTGCCAGCCTCAGACGTCGTCTACCTCGCGTATAATGCAAGTGGTCCAGGACACTATGATGCGCTAATTATCTCCCAACGTGATCAGCAGGAGCGATTCACTTCTGAAACAAACAGCAATCTCGATGCTCTCGAGAGTCAGTCCACGCTTTCCACGGAGAAAGTGCCAATCTCAACTCCAAGAAAACCATGTCGATGCGGAGAAAAAAATAAATACAAATCAAAAGCAAAAGCGTCAAGGAGCTACAAAGGCAGGTGCAAGTGCATCAACGAATACGGTACCTGTAGGAGCGCATGCAGTTGTTGTGGATGGTGCCAAGGCAAACAATGTGGGGGAAACCAAAGGCTTCCTCGAGACAAAAAATGTAGAACACCGAGAAAGCGAAGTAAAAAATACAGGCATACCGTGAAAGCGAAACGATCAAGACTTTCACTGGAAGAAAATGACGAAAAAATCAAAGATCCTGGATTGAATGAGCTCGAGTTCTTTGTCATGCATGCTATTATCCAGCATGTCAACTCAAAGAATGATGTCAAAAATGACAACAGTCATTTTTGTGACATGTTTAGCAAAATAGTCAAAGTCGTAAATAGTTTCGCTTTTCTAATGGTTCTTCCCATATTTCACCATTCCTTACAGGTGCTTTACGATGAAAAAAGAAAGTATGATAAGCTAAGGAAACGTTAGATCCTATATAGTATGAGGCTCTGTACCGTGCATGGACGTAATAGTAAGAGAACACCATATGATCGATAATGAGAACCGTATAATTTTATGCAAAGAATATCAATATAGTGTGCTTACTCTCACCAGATCTATATGAGATTCCAAAGAGATTCTTATCTCATAGTTGTTAAATTCGCTGTAAAGTTTTATTTATCTTTTGAACGCGAACCTGGGAAATGTTACGTTGTAATATTTGTATAAGTTATAGTGTTCACACCTTTCTTGTAACTAAACCAATACCTCCCTTTGCAGAGTACTATACTGTTTTGAGGTCTATGTAAGTTATGTATGTTTTATGTAATTTGTATCCTTCAAAGTCAAACCCTGTTTCCTCTTTTGATGTCCAAACCACCCCTGCGGAGAAATTTTAAGAGTTATAAGAAGTTGATATTATGCAGTAAACATCTAAAGTCGGTGGCCTTGGTAAATCACAATAAATTGAGCGATGAAGTTATTGTGTATTACCTAATTGTTTATCAGTTTAGCCTACTTCGGAATTTACATTGCCTTAGCCAATAATGTAACGCCGGACCAAATAATGAGTAATTAAAATAATAAGTAATTAAAAGTTTCATCTGATGAGGATAAAGGCTGTCCTTAATCAAAAATGCGAAAACTGTGTACTTAGCAATGGTTGAATGAGCTCATTCAGGCAATTTCTTTCGGACTCAAAGGGGAGTTAGGCAAGCCTGTCCCCTTTCCCCATATTTGTTTATTCTTGCTGCGGAGATCTTGGCCAAGACCGTCCCAAACAACAAGGGCATAACAGGTTTTTCTCTGGGTAATGGCGAAGTTAAGATAAGCCAACACGCTGATGATACCACTCTTGTCTTAGACGATTGAGAGAAATCCCTTATACCAGCAATACAAAGTTAAGATGATTTTTGTCAGATCTCCGGCCTCAAGTTAAACGATAGCACAACGGAAGCCCTTTGGATCGGTTCTAAGACAGCACATGAACAAATCCTTGTTTCAGGAAAGAAGTTTAAATGGCCAAAATATAAAGTCAAACACTTGGTCTGTGGCTGTCAACAGCTGTCAACCGATCCGGACATGGCTTTGACGTTGAATTACAACGAAAAAACTGAAAACATTAGGAAGCTTTTGAGTTGCTGGAAATATTGCAGGCTCGCGTTGTTAGGGAAAATTACTGTCCTTAACTCACTGACCGCATCACAACTGGTATACTTGCTCTTCCCTTTTACGCTCAAATCATTACGCTACAAAGGAAATAAATGACATGTTTTACCATTTTCTATAGAATGGTGAAGGTGACAAAATCAAGAGAAAAGTTATGATCAATGAACCTGAGTATGGAGGTCTGAAGATGATTGACCTTTATCCTTTCAACAAATGTCTTAAAACAACATGGGTTAAAAAGTACTTGGACGCTACTTAAAACGGAAAATGGAACGTTATCTTTGATCTATAACTGGAGAACTACGGCCGCGATCTCATTTTCCGTGGTAATCTCAACCGTTGAGACTCAACGTCTCTGACACTATGAAAGAGATTAGGGCAACGGACCCCGTAACTAAAGAAAAATTGGAATATTGGAAAGAAATAAACTTTGTGGATAAAGTAAGTTCTGATATCGCTTGTCAAGAACAGGTTCTGTGGTTCAACTCTTTGATAAGGATAGATAATGAAAAATTTCTTTTTTAAAGAGTGGTTTGAAATAAGTATCTCCAAAGTTAAACACGTCCAAACGGGAAACGATAATTTTCTGACTCTCAAAGATTTTGCCTCCAAACATGATTTAAGAGTACGCCCGCTCAGTTTTTACGGTTTACTATCAGCTGTTCAACGAATTCGCAAAAATGTTACCGATACTGCTGAGACAAAAGACTATAACTTTGAAACACTGAGTGAAAACTGAATTGTTAAAAGAGAAAAGCTAGGTCCATTAATTTACCAAAAGCTGACCAGAGCCAATAGTTTAACCGCACGTAAAAGCCAACTAAAATGACTTCAAGACTGTAACTACTCAGACGAAGAAGGAACTTTTAACTAAGAACTTGCCTATTTTATGGCGCAAAGTACGGTGCACAAAAAGCACCAAACTGAGTTCCAATTTATACTATCACATAGGCGCATACCAACCAATGATTTCTGACTTAAAATAGGACGAAAAGAAAATGACATATATGCCTTTTGCAACAATTCCTCAGACACGCTAATTCATCTTTTTTGGTCTCGCCATGTTACATGAGTATACAGGGTATAAAGGGTATACATGGGTATACAGGGTATACATGAGTATACAGGGTATACAACAACAACAACAACAACAAGTTTATTCAGTATTACCATTTTGTACAGGTGTTACCGATTAAAATAACAATAATAAACAGCTAAGTTTAAGGAAATACAGGTATGATGGAATAGTAGAGTTAACTATGTTTCTTTCGTCTTTCAAATGCTTGAAAGATGAAATTAGCAGCTAGCCTGCTGATATGTGAATCAGTATTGTTAAAAAGAAAACAGACTTTATCATGGATATTGTAGTGCGTAAATAATGTATTTCGGTCGTTGATTTTAATAAAAAGAGTCTTTCTCAAATCATTGTATTGATCACAGTGAAATAATATGTGCAGTTCATTTTCAACCGAATTTTGGCTGCAATGATCACAGATTCTAAGGTCTTCAGGAGTTTTGGGGATTGTAAATCTTCCAGTTTCTATTTTTAAATTATGATTTCCTATCCTAAATTTGGAAGCTACACGCCTATGTTCAGGATTCCGGATATGATTGATGAATTCAGAGTGATTTGTTTCATTTTTAAAGATGGAGTAGAATTTTAGTTTTTTATTTGTTCTGATCAAATTTAGCTGGTGGTTTTTCAGATGTTTTGACAAAGTATTCTCAGCTTTGGATAGGAAAGTAGAAGGGTTTTTAAAGTTAACTGACTGTTTGTGAATATTAAGTTGTGTACTCAAAAGATTTATTTTATTTATTAGACCTGATTTATTTTCTTCGGCCATTTTATCCGATATGTTTAAGCAGAGTTTAGCGATGCTGTCAGGGGGTTGATTTTCAAGGTGAATCCAAAATTTGAAAATGTTCATTGTTATTTGTAAATTTAGAGATAATCTACCAAGCTCATTTCTCGATGCAACATTCGGTGAACGTTTGTTTAAACCTAAACACATCTTACAAAAATGTATATGCGTTTTCTCAATCAAGTCTTTATCCCAGCGGCTATAATCACTTTTATCATAGATTCCCCAAACTTCAGAGCAATACGTTAAAATTGGGAAAAATAGTGTATTGAACAGTTTGTTGATGATGTGAATTGGTAATTTTAGAAAATCTAGATAACGACGAGCGGCAAAAAGGATCTCTTTTTTTTTCTGTTAAGTTTTCCTTGTGATTTGTAAAATTTCCATTGGCTGAAAATTTCACTCCAAGATAGGTATAGTTATTGACGATTTCAATGTTTTCATTGTTAACCATAAAATTGTGTTTATCTATTGCTGATTTTCTACTTTTCTTTTGAAATACAATAACTTTGGTTTTAGTTGGATTAATCTTAAGAAGCCAATCCTGACAATATTTTGATAGTCTGTCAAGACTTTGTTGCAAACCTTCTGCCGAGGTAGATATTAGAAGTAAGTCATCGGCATAAAGTAGACAGTTGAAGTGAGAACCATCTGGTAGTAAGATAGAATCTTTAGCATTGTTATTTAGAATGAGGGGTAGTTCGTTTAGATAAAGGTTAAATAGAAGCGGCGACAGAATACAGCCTTGTCGTACACCTTTATCATAGTTGAAAAATTCTGATCGAGTATAATTGTCTTTCACACAACATATTGAATTTGAATACATGCTGGAAATTATTTTGTAAAAGGAGCCACCTATGTTATATTTCAACAGTTTGTATAGTAAACCTTGGTGCCAAATTGAGTCAAATGCCTTTTTAAAATCAACAAAACAAGTATAAAGTTTACCTCTGGGGGAGTGGGTAACATGTTGGTCTATTAATGTTCTTAAACTAAAGATATGTTCAGACGCACGATGTCCGGGCACAAAGCCAATTTGGGAGCGATGAAGTATTTTATTATTGTTTGAAAAGTTTAATAATCTCGTATTTAAAATAGAACAAAAGACTTTGCCAAGACAACTATTAATGCAAATACCTCTGTAATTTGAAGGGTCATCTTTGTTTCCAGATTTATGTAAGGCAGTGATTATTCCATTACTCCATGATGTAGGAAATGTTCCAGATTGTAGAATCAGATTAAAAAGTTTCTCAAGTGGATATTTTATAAAGCTTGAGCTTGTTTTAATCATTTCATTGCGTATTCCATCAAGTCCAGCGGCCTTCTTGTTTTTTAGTTTTTTAATTGCTTTATCAATCTCTTCAATGGATATTGGGTTGTCTAATTCCGATTGTAAATGGTTGCTGTCCTCCAAACGCTTTTTATCGTTTAACATGTGTATTTGAAATGCCGATAATGTATTAGGATCAGGTGCTGAGTGTAGCATTTTAAAATGATCATAAAGTTTATTGGTCGGGTTTTCGTTATTATTATAAGACAAGATGTTTTCGTTCATTGACTTTAGGGTATCCCAAAATTTGCGGTTATTTTCGTTACTAATCAGCTCATTTATTTGTATACAGGGTATACAAGGTATACAGGGTATACAGGGTATACTGGGAGTACATGGGTATACATGGGTATACAGGGTATACAGGATATACAAGGTATACAAGGTATACATGGGTATACACGGTATACATGGGTATACAGGGTATACTGGGAGTACATGGGTATACAGGGGTATACAGGGTATACAGGGTATACAAGGTATACAAGGTATACAGGGTATACAGGGTATACATGGGTATACAGGGTATACAGGGTATACAAGGTATACAGGGTATACATGGGTATACAGGGTATACAGGGTATACATGGGTATACAGGGGTGTACAGGGTATACAGGGTATACAAGGTGTACATGGGTATGCAGGGTATACAGGGTATACAGGGTATACAAGGTATACATGGGTATACAGGGTATACAAGGTATACATGAGTATACAGGGTATACATGAGTATACAAGGTATACATGGGTATACAGGGTATACATGGGTATACAGGGGTATACAGGGTATACAGGGTATACAGGGTATACAGGGTATACAAGGTGTACATGGGTATACAGGGTATACAGGGTATACAGGGTATACAAGGTATACATGGGTATACAGGGTATACAAGGTATACATGAGTATACAGGGTATACATGAGTATACAAGGTATGCATGGGTATACAGGGTATACAGGGTATACAAGGTATACAAGGTATACATGGGTATACAGGGTATACATGGGTATACAGGGTATACTGGGAGTACATGGGTATACATGGGTATACAGGGGTATACAGGGTATACAGGGTATACAGGGTATACAAGGTGTACATGGGTATACAGGGTATACAGGGTATACAGGGTATACAAGGTGTACATTGGTATGCAGGGTATACAGGGTATACAGGGTATACAAGGTATACATGGGTATACAGGGTATACAAGGTATACATGAGTATACAGGGTATACATGAGTATACAAGGTATACATGGGTATACAGGGTATACAAGGTATACAAGGTATACATGGGTATACAGGGTATACTGGGAGTACATGGGTATACAGGGGTATACAGGGAATACAGGGTATACAGGGTATACAAGGTATACAAGGTATACAAGGTATACAGTGTATACAGGGTATACATGGGTATAGAGGGTATACATAAGTATACAGGGTATACATGGGTATACAGGGGTATACAGGGTATACAGGGTATACATGGGTATACAGGGTATACAGGGTATACAGGGTATACTAGGAGTACATGGGTATACATGGGTATACAAGGTATACACGGTATACATGGGTATACAGGGTATACATGGGTATACAGGGTATACAGGGTATACAGGGTATACTGGGAGTACATGGGTATACATGGGTATACAGGGTATACAGGGTATACTGGGAGTACATGGGTATACATGGGTATACAGGGTATACAGGGTATACAAGGTATACAAGGTATACATGGGTATACAGGGTATACAGGGTATACATGGGTATACAGGAGAATGGACATTCTATTACTGTTATATGAAACAGTAGGTCTATTTGGCGTAAGCGTAACATGAAAGAATAACCGGTGCATTACCGCAGAGGCGTATGGGACATTTGCCAAAACTACAAAAAAATAATTATGACTAAGAAAAAAATAATTCTCGAATGGAAAAAATTAAATATCATTATATTATGAGTTGCGTAGGACAAAATCAATTAATTATCCAAAAAAAATTATTATAGCAGACAAAAAACTAATCGGCAACCGTAACATAATTTGTGTAATGGACAAAAATAATTTCAAAGAAGCGTAATAATAAAGACGGCACATAAAAAAATTAATTCCTGGTGAGGAAAAAATAATTGTGACGCATGGAAAAGTTAAAAAGAACACGAAAATAATTACAGGCATAGGAAAAAATAATTACAAACAGACAAAATATTAATAGCAGGTACTCATCAAATTAATTCATCAAGAGGGAAAAATTAATCATGCAATTTTGACCAGAACGGGCCTTCATACGCGGCCGCTTTCCCTGAATAGTGGTTAATTTGCAATTTTTTTCTACAGTTATCAGTGTGGACATTAATTACTGAACAGCGCTCTTAAACTTACCATCCTAGGCGTTTTTTTTTTTCGAGGAAGCGCAAATGTCGGTGGGCTTCTAAAACTAAAAAGGAATGAATGGCCGCCTAATTAGTTATGTTCACAGCTCCTTTCTAATATATATGTTGTAGTTAATTTTTGTAATTTTTATTTTTCCTTTTTTTCAACTTCGTTAGCATACATTATCATACCCAAAAACAAAAGAAAAACAAAAATTGCCTGAGATTTAAAAAATTAACTACAACATATATCCATTGAATACATTAGATTGTGAGAAGAGAGAGCACAATGCGCGGATGACAGTGATCGAGGGGCCTAAAAAATTAGCGAGTTCACGCAACAGGAGATCAGAAAGCCGAAGAGAGCGGTAAAACGCTTTTTTGTGACAAACGTGACTGGGCTATTACAACAGGTGCTTTATTAACTGCGTGTTTTGTCGTGATCTTCACTTAATTGGAATATTACTGTGTTCAGGTCTTTTCGAAAAACATCTGTTTAAAGGAAGAGGAAGTTTGGCGCAAAATTTTTTCAGAACATATAGTTATTGTTGCTGTCATCTTACGCTACGATGTTTTTACAACTGTGGTCGAAGAAATAAAGTTGCGCTCTCTTGAAAACTGCCTTGAGTTTTGTCGAAAAGATTGTCGCGAGCGAAGTGTTAGCGAGCTGCTTGTGTCGTCACTGTTACTACATCTACAGCTAATAATGTTATTTATCATTAAGTCATTTTCTCCTAACGTAAACGAGAGAGGGGGATAAGGCAAAAGCTAGTGTCTTTTGTCTTTTTATACTAATTTTGTTTTCGTTTTTAGCCAAAACCCGTTGGTGCTTTTTGATCCCGTCTCTTTTTTGGATAAACTCAAAGGTCTTTTGCGGAAGAGAAACTTCCCCTCATCTCCAAAGTTTCTCTAGCCTGTTCCCAAAGGTTGCTTTCTTTTTCAAGATCTACGAGCTCGCTGTTTTTATTTTCATTCGCGCGCTCGATGATCTCGAGGATCTGTGAACTGGCTACTTTCCGGCTTGCAAATTAAATGAAGGGTTGTTTTCCTCCACAAAAGGTGCGACCATGTGGATAAGAAGTGGATTGATCGGGGGTTCATTGAGCTCCGAAGGGAACCCCCGATACTTTCCACTTTTACGTGTTCTATTCATACATATACATTATACTGACGAAGCCTATACGCCAGGTGCATTGTGTTTATTAAGTCTAATGGTTCTTCAATATTATTTTAAAGTTCGCGGCACCAACTAATAACATGCTTCTCAAGTGAGTGGTTTTGAAAAGCGTATTGTTATTTATACCTGTGCTTAAAACAATAGCTCGCTCGCCTTAAGTACGATAAGTTTTAAAAAGTTTAAACGTATTCTGCTTATAAGGAAAGAAATTCTGTCGGTGGATTTTGTTACTGGCTTCCAAAAATCATGCATAAAGTCAGCTTCTATACAAAAAATTCCCTCTCAGTTTAGCAATTTTCAAATGCAGAGAAACAGTCCTTCTGCTAAGTAAAATGCAAATCTTTTGTGCTTAAATCGTACATAAATCATTCATTTTCAACATTTCATCAGTGAATTTGTCAGTTTGGAGCTAACGAAGTCGCACGAATGAGATTTATCAACGCTGGTGGTTGAAAAGAGGCGCTTTCTTCTCTTATTCGGAGCTTATTCAAAGCGCTGGTGCATTTGAATTTGCCGCTTCGGCGGTCATAAAAAACTCTGACGATATCCACTCATTCTGCCGTGCGCGATGCATTTGTTTCTGCAGGCCACAGTGGATACATCGAATGATTATGAGAATGAGTCAAAAGGGATGTCGGATTCACTTTCAAACACTAACTCTAAATCATCAGCAATAAACTCCTTGCTGGTTTGGAAGTTTTAAATACTCGGATCGTCCACGTCAGTAAAGTACTCGTTTTTCCCCTCAACTTCTTTTGATTTTTTGAACGTTTTCTTATCCTCAAATAGTGGATACCTCTTGGCGAGTAGAAGCGGAGCTTCTCTGGCCATTTCGTGAACCAGCGTAACTTTCGTTTTCATTCTCATCAATACCACAATCTTTGAATTGCGTCGTTTCTCTTCGTTAAAAAGAAGTCCTCTTTCTCTCGTGGCCCTATCAGACGACTGAGCTTTTTGTGATCAATTAAGGTGGCTCGACCCAGTATTTCTGTAGGTACACCTTCCATCGTTGAATCTCTTTGACTTAAACAAATATATCTTTATTGTAAAGCCGTTATAACACATGTACAGTAATAGCCCGCGTATAAGAACCTGAATTTTTCAATTTAGCCTAAATAGGTTCTTATATAAATGGTACTTAAAGCAAATTTAGGCTACCGAGGTTCTTAAAATAGGTTCTTATATTTTCATATGAATTTCATCTGTATATACTATATATATTGTAAATATCATCTCATAATACATTATAAATCATTTATTTGTACCATAGAGCAATGCCTATAGGCGGTTCAGTGCAGGTACAGCATATGTCCTTAACAAAACATAACAAAGAAACTCATGTTGATACCAAATTCATAACAAGCTCAAGCAATGAGGAGAAGTGAAAAACGAAATAGATGATGATCTTAATTCAGTAGTTTCTACCTATACACTTTTACAGCAACCCCACTGATAAGAACCTAACTTAAATTTTTAGCCTAAATAGGTTCTTATGTGGAGGGGGCTTACAATGAAAATTTTAGCCTAACAGGTTCTTAAAACCCAGGTTCTTATACGCGGGCTATTACTGTATTACACATAGACTAAACTTTATTATGACTTTATTATTATTTGTCCGTACAGAGGTCCGACGACTATGCCATGCTGATGACTGATGAGCCCCAATTTGAGGGCGAAACAGCTGTCCATGGCTGCCACTGCCCGGGTGTTATGGCTGTACGCATGCGGGAGGTACTGGCCAGGCCGTACGTATCGTACTATAGGTCAATGGTAGCAACAATTATATGCTACTGAACAATCTTTTGCTATTCCTCCGAATACAAACCGACAATATGGTTAAAACATTTAATTTCTTTTATCCACCTTCTCTACGCTGCTTTGTCCTTGGTGGCAAATTACATGATCACTGTGAATAATTAGGAAATTCATTTTTCCCATACAATAGCTGCATCAAGAGAATACCGACGAAACCCGCAGGCTAAGATCCTTGAAACTGAAAGTAAGTCACGCTCTAGTTGCTGAAAACAACTATCGAAGCAACACCTGTCCTATCCCGGACTTGGCAAGACTTTCCTTGAGAAGAAAGAAGCTGTTCAAAAAACACAAGGCACGGAACTGGCAGAGATATATAAAAGAATCCATTGGAGTTCTCTTCCGTTCGTCGTTTCTTGGTAGACGACTTTTTAAATGCCGAACCAGAACTTGACAAATCATCCTGCATTCTCTCTTGAATGCTTCAATCTGGACATTAATTTAGAGACAACAAAAACACTGCTCGTCGCGCACATTTTAACATCGATCATCAACTTTCTTTCATCTCTTTCGGCTGTGATTGGTAATGCAGCCATAATTTTCGCGGTATGGAAGACCCTGGCTCTTCAAACGCCTTCGAACATTTTTCTCTGTTGTTTGGCGTTCAGTGACTTTACCGTTGGCCTGCTCGCTCAACCTGCTTTTGTCGTCCACAAAATCGGCGAAATCTTCAAGATTTTCAACATATACTGCACGACCAGGATTCTCTTAGAATCCCTCGGGTTTCTAACGGCTGGAGCTTCGGTTTGTACTATGACAGGCATTGCTATCGAAAGATATCTAGCACTCTACCTACATTTGCGTTACAGGCAAGTGATTACCACAAAGCGGATACTTGGTGTTGTTGTGTTGATTTGGGCCTTTTATATTTTGTTTGCCGCGTCTAGGTTCTGGATAGCAAATGACAGCATTTTTAACAATATCTTTATTTCACTAATACTTGCTAACTTAGTTTTATCATTCCTGGCCTACGCTAAGGTTTTTAAGTACGTTAAGCGACACGAGAATCAGATAAAAGAGCAAAACACAGGTCGCCCAGAGTTTGGTGCGGTAAATCACCGTTTACTCAGGATGAAACGTTACAAGAAGTCTACCCTGACAATGTTATACATCATTGGAATCTTCATTATCTGCTATATACCTTTACTTTGCGTCAGAATTCTTTACAGGACGGAAGGCTATACCGCAAATGTAAAGACAGCTAATCTTTATACCACCACAATCGTGTTCCTGAACAGTTCATTGAACCCAATGGTTTATTGCTGGCGTATTTCTGATATCCGTAGTGCAGTCAAAGAAATCTGTTTGCGCCAACGTTTTAGAAGGAAAAGTGAAGTTGTCGTTTTAAAATCAAAGCGCAGAATTTCCTCGAAGGTCTAGAATTAGCAGTTTAAACATTACGCGCGCCTCAGGTAGCGTAATGCCTCATTTTAATGGGTGATAGCAATAGCTCGGACAAAAAAAAACATTTCGCTATGACGGAAGAGGCCCTGTTAGGGGGGGTGCCCATGTCCCCCGTCTGATTTTCACAGCCAGCTATGTCGCAATTTCGGAACATTCTCGTGTCGCCTGTCGGAATTTCAATAATAATTTTTTAGCTCGTTGCCAGTCTGACAATCCGCGTTCGCTGTAACGACGCCAACGGAACATACGGCCTCCATCTTCAGTGCTTTTAAGCCCAGGGGTTTAAGACCTTTATAAATGTTTGATATTCATTCAGACTACTTGGAATAGTAATTGAAGTCAATAAAATTCCATTTAGTAAACTATACGAGTGTAGAGCTATTTTTAAAATGGCTTGGCGTGAATCGAGGTCTAATCTGGCAAAACACTCGAGCTATCATAACGTTTCTAAAATTCTGGTAGTGCAAGAGTCTAATGTTTCTTCCGAGTTAAACTCTGATTTAGTTGTCAGACTATGCTTTTCCGTAACTATAACAACCCAGGAGGAAGGACATTATCAACCATTCATTATCTGTAAGGCATGCGTTTACAAGAAGTCTGTGAAAAATGAACTAAAGGTCCAGACGTTTTGGGCGGATGATTTTGGTATCGAAGAAATGTCTCGTATGATACCGCCGTCAATTTCACAAAATCGCACCCTTTTTCAAAATGCTCTTCCCCACTTTACTGACGATAGCATCTTGGTGGATTCGTACGCTTTCATTCTAAGTGAACAGCAGACAGTCTTCAAATGAAGAAACAAACAACTCAATGTCACAAAAAGAATTCTCTTCCTTGTCGGTGACATCAGCTATGACAATTCCAACAAAGAAGGGTCCCCTGTTCGGGTATCCACGTATGTGGTCGCGCTTGACGACCACAACACTGTTGGCCTCAAGTAAAATGGCTCCTCTGACAGCTTCCTGCACAATCGCTGTGACCACTGTTTCTCTAGCTGTGAGGTCGTCTGTGGTGGAAAAATCTAATGGTCTTGGAGGCTGATCTGGTGTTGTGTATGCGAACAATGGAAGTGTACCTACATTGTCCTTGGTACTTTGATTTCGAATGGTCAGTTGACGGACCGGTTTACCAAAGCTGTCCCTCCAGTCTCTCATCAACCTCTGGTCATCTTTTGCCATTTCTACTGACGACGGAACTTACAAAGAAGGCAGGTCTCGAAACCGGAGTTTCATCTCATCTGGTACTTCATAATAAGAGTGTGGGGAAGTTTAGTAGACAAAGCCAATGTCAGTGAGTTGTTTCAATGACTCGCGAATGGTGGGCGCAAATAGATATGCAAACTCCAAGGCAGTTGGGATGTCATTTCTGGAGGGCATTTGGCTGAAAAAGGTTCTCCACAACAAGTCTGAAAGTGGCGACCAGTTTGAGAAAGCTGGTCGCTCTCTTCTTTCTAACTTGTCTTGCTTTTCTCGCTATTTCTTTCCCTTTTTTTTCCCATGCCGTTGATGCCGTCAACGGCACTCCGACGACTCGCTAATGACTCTGATAGTGATGTATTTCAATAACTCGCTTACCATTTGGAACACCGAGATGAACGCGATTGATAAAGAAAAAAATCTCTCTAACAGATTGATGGAGCGCGCACGTGGGTCATGCAAGGAGGAGAACATGACATGCAAAGCGGCAAAGTCCTCAAGAGTGATGCACTGAACACGTCAATCAAATGAAATGAACAATCAAAACAGCAGTAAAATGAGACGTATTTCTGTTTGCCTTTATTGGACCCTTATTAGCCATCATTGGCCATTATTGATCATTATTCAGTAGTTACTACCGAATAGTGTACGCGCAAATGTTCTGCAGGACATTCACAATTCTGTCAATTCTCAAATTCACTGTCGGACAGTCTTGACATTGGTGTCGCTTTCGCTAATTCGTTGCAATAGTCTGTCGGTCGTCGCCAGTTCGTGGCTCTCATGTCGCCGGTTCAAGGCCGTGTCGCTTGTCGGAATTTACCCCTAACACGGCCTCACGGAAGTACGAGACTCAAAAGTAAAAGTATTCATTTTGCAAGGCAAAGAGCCCGAGTAGTCTTGAAGTTTTTGAATTTTAACAATAAACTAGACTGACAGATCTTCCTTGTGTAATAAAATTGTGTCCTTGTTTGCGTAAGTTAATTTAAAAATTCGACAGTTTGAGATTCCACTTTAAAAGTAGATTTCTTTTTTGTTAAAAGTGCTGTGTTTCAAGTAAGAATCTGGAATTAGACTGATATGTAAAATTTCGAAAATGACGCTAAACATCAAATGCACTAAACTGCAATACTTTGAGAGGTCTCTCTAGCTAAACGCGTCTTGTGACATTCATCTAGGAAAGGTGTTAATTAATTCTTATTTTGATATTTATTCTGAAAGTCACCTTGAATTAGTTGCTGATGATTTAATATCGGTATTATTTAAAGCGGAATTTTCGTAGGTTGTATGAGCAAACGCTTATCGGATACATATAAAAATACGAAATAAAACCAAAAAAAAGCAAAACAGAGATAACAGTGTCAGAGTAAAGTATAAAAGAGCTCTAGCTCTGAGCTGGGAAAACGTTCAGTTTATTAAAATGTATACCATATATAAAGTGTAAACATACGTAGATTAATATAAATAATTGAACCTCTCCGCAACCACAGACACTTTTTTGTTCTGGAAGAAAACGATTTCTCCAATGTATCTCATTCACAATTTTCCAAACTCGTTAATTTTACAAGTGAACACAAACGACTTCCGTTTGGCTCCGCCCTTGTACGAGAAGCTGACCGTGTGTGGATTATGGCATAATTTTAAAAAAGGATGGCAGGTGACGCCCTTGTGACGTTCAATGTTTAGATGCCCGAAGGCATTTAAATATTATATTAATCAGACCACTTTGTTTAACTTAAAACGTCCCATGGCAAGGTAAGAGAAAAAAAATATCGATGAAATTTGGGGCAAAACCTTCCGTCGGATTAAGCAGTCACCCCATTGCATTTGGGTGCCGCCGGCAAGTGGAGGTTCGTCATAAATTAGCATAATCTTAAACAGAAACATCAATTAAAAAAAAAACAAAACAAACGTGACTCGCGACGGGAGCGGCATAACTGGTGGACATTAACGTGTATAACGTGGACATTAATTACTGAACAGCGCTCTTAAACTTAATTACCATCCTAGTCCTTCCAGAAAAATGTAGGCGTTTTTTTTTTTTTCGAGGAAGCGCAAATGTTGGTGAGCTTCTAAAAATAAAAAGGAATGAATGCCCGCCTAATTAGTTATGTTCACAGCTCCTTTTTAATATATATGTTGTAGTTAATTTTTGTAATTTTTATTTTTCCTTTGTTTCAACTTCGTTAGCATACATTATCATACCCAAAAACAAAAGAAAAACAAAAATTGCCTGAGATAAAAAATTAACTACAACATATATCCATTGAATACATTAGATTGTGAGAAGAGAGCACTATGCGCGGATGACAGTGATCGAGGGGCCTAAAAAATTAGCGAGTTCACGCAACAGGAGGTCAGAAAGCCGAAGAGACTGGCGGTAAAACGCTTTTTTGTGACAAACGTGACTGGGCTATTACAACAGGTGCTTAATTAACTGCGTGTTTTGTCGTGATCTTCACTTAATTAGAATATTACTGTGTTCAGGTCTTTTCGAAAAAATCTGTTTAAAGGAGGAGGAAGTTTGGCGGAAAATTTTTTCAGAACATATCGTTACTGTTGCTGTCATCTTACGATGCTTTTACAACTGTGGTCGAAGAAATAAAGTTGCGCTCTCTTGAAAACTGCCCTGAGTTTTGTCGAAAAGATTGTCGCGAGCGAAGTGTTAGCGAGCTGCTTGTGTCGTCACTGTTACTACATCTACAGCTAATGTTATTTATCATTAAGTCATTTTCTCCTAACGTAAACGAGAGAGGGGGCTAGGGCAAAAGCTAGTGTCTTTTGTCTTTTCGTGCTAATTTTGTTTTCGTTTTTAGCCAAAACTCGTTGGTGCTTTTTGATCCCGTCTCTTTTTTGGATAAACTCAAAGGTCTTTTGCGGCAGAGAAACTTCCCCTCATCTCCAAAGTTTCTCTAGCCTGTTCCCAAAGGTTGCTTTCTTTTTCATGATCTACGAGCTCGCTGTTTTTATTTTCATTCGCGCGCTCGATGATCTCGAGGATCTGTGATCTGGCTACTTTCACTTGCAAACTAAATGAAGGGTTGTTTTCCTCCACAAAAGGTGCGACCATGTGGATAAGAAGTGGATTGATCGGGGGTTCATTGAGCTCCGAAGGGAACCCCCGATACTTTCCACTTTTACGTGTTCTATTCATACATTATACTGACGAAGCGTATACGCGAGTATAAAGTCTAATGGTTCTTCAATATCATTTTAAAGTTCGCGGCACCAACTAATAACATGCTCCTCAAGTGAATGGTTTTGAAAAGCGTATTGTTATTTTTGGCAGCCATTGTTATTCATACCTGTGCTTAAAACAATAGCTCGCTCGCCTTAAGTACGATAAGTTTCTAGCACACTTTTTCAAACTCCCAAAGATAGTGGTTCTTGTTCATAAATTTTAAAAAGTTAAAACGTATTCTGCTTATAAGGATAGACCAGTCTTACATATACTGTCGGTGGATTTTGTTACTGGCTTCCAAAAATCATGCATAAAGTCAGCTTCTATACAAAAAATTCCCTCTCAGTTTAGCAATTTTCAAGTGCAGAGAAACAGTCCTTCTGCTAAGTAAAATGCAAATCTTTTGTGCTTAAATCGTACATAAATCATTCATTTTCAACATTTCATCAGTGAATTTGTCACTGTTTGGAGCTAACGAAGTCGCGCGAATGAGATTTATCAACGCTGGTGGTTCAAATGAGTCGCTTTCTTCTCTTATTCGGAGCTTATTCAAAGCGCTGGTGCATTTGAATTTGCCGCTTCGGCGGTCATAAAAAACTCTGACGATATCCACTCATTCTGCCGTGCGCGATGCATTTGTTTCTGCAGGCCACAGTGGATACATCGAATGATCATGAGAATGAGTCAAAAGGGATGTCGGATTCACTTTCAAACACTAACTCTAAATCATCAGCAGTAAACTCCTTGCTGGTTTGGAAGTTTTAAATACTCGGATCGTCCACGTCAGTAAAGTACTCGTTTTTCCCCTCACCATCTTTTGATTTTTTGAACGTTTTCTTATCCTCAAATAGTGGATACCTCTTGGCGAGTAGAAGCGGAGCTTCTCTGGCCATTTCGTGAACCAGCGTAACTTTCGTTTTCATTCTCATCAATACCACAATCTTTGAATTGCGTCGTTTCTCTTCGTTAAAAAGAAGTCCTCTTTCTCTCGTGGCCCTATCGGACGACTGAGCTTTTTGTGATCAATTAAGGTGGCTCGACCCAGTATTTCTGTAGGTACACCTTCCATCGTTGAATCTCTTTGACTTAAACAAATATATCTTTATTGTAAAGCCGTTATAACACATGTATTACACATAGACTAAACTTTATTATGACTTTATTATTATTTGTCCGTACAGAGGTCCGACGACTATGCCATGCTGATGACTGATGAGCCCCAATTTGAGGGCGAAACAGCTGTCCATGGCTGCCACTGCCCGGGTGTTATGGCTGTACGCATGCGGGAGGTACTGGCCAGGCCGTGGGTTTAAGCCGTGGGTTAGTGTATGTGTGCCCCTTGCTTTATTCTGAAGTCCCTGGCTTGATCATGCAAAAAAATCAATTTTTGTGGTCGGATTCCCTCCGCGCGCGGCGACCCTGTGGTAACAGCCTCGTACTCGTGCAATCAAGGGAGTCTGGTTACTAGATTTTTGAGCGCCAATGTTTGATGCATTACTGCCGATTCCTTGCGAGTTTTCTTTTGAATATTTTAGGCGAAGATGCTAAAAATCTGCCTTAAATTTTCACAATAATGGCTGGAGAGCACGATATTTCCCATGAACTTCGACGATGGGCCTTGGACGAAATGCGTTTTAGGCCTCAAGGGCGACACATCAATGCCAGTCTTCCATCGACGGAGGACTTCAAGATGTAAGTACGAAGTTAAGCTAACAGAAAAAAAAAATGATTGGGCGAAAGAAATGGGTACTCTTTTACTTCAAAAGTGACAGGGATGGCATAGAAATGAGCCAACAATGTACGCAAGAAAGCCGAAACAATTAAAGAGACAGAATTGTTCTAACGTTCAGCCACAGGCCTCCCAAGCTACGACCTACTTCAGTGTCCGTTGACACCAACTGCTAAATCGCCCTTCCAAATATAAGCCGCTCGGGGGACTTGTACTTGGAAATTGCCCTCAAACACAAAGTAAAACAAAGAAAAACGGTAAATTTCCTTCCAAGAATACAGCTTTTTAAACGCAAATTTCCCTCTGTACATAAGCCCCTCTGAATAAAAGCCCCACCAAAAATAAGCCCCTCAAAAGATGCCTTTGAAAAATATAAGCCCCGGGGCTTATTTTCGGAATTTTTTCGGTATTGAGCATAATATTTACATGTGTTGCAGTCAACTGTAGCCTTCGCCAGAGATGAAACTAAACTCCTGGTTAAATCCGTCTGCAAGCCAGTGCCGAAATTCTTTGTTCTGGGTCCCCAGCTGCGTACCAGGGTTTTAGCCAATGTTGTGTACATCTGGCGACATGATTAGCCTGTTAAAAAAGCCATTGTTGATTTGTCAATCTGGTTGAAGGGAAATGTGAAACACACTTCCTGTAATTTGTTGATACTAGAGAGGGCCTAGATCAAGGATCACGCCACTGCTTCCCAGATATTACCAGCCAGGGTCAGAGGGCTGTCAACCCCCCACGTCTTTAAATATTGAGAATCAAAGGGGGAAGGATGATAGATGACATTTTAATGTTCAGCACATGACATCATTAGCACAAAAAATACTCATTGACTCCGATCATCACGAATTTGTAATGACACAAAACGCACAAAAAAGATGTTGTTGGTGTTGTAACATTTGACCTGATTGGTTTACTTCCCACCAATCACATTATTGCTTATATTACAATGGCATACCAGAGTTTGTGAGGAAACGTTTGATGTTAACAGTTAAATAGCTCAAACAACGCAAAATATTTGAAATTTTATTGTCGGAACGTCGAGTCTACAAGAAATGGCAAACTTCGGCAATTATCCTTGAGATTTCATACTCTAATCTGGAGTCCAGGAGATATGGTCTAAAACCTGGAGTCTCCCGGATTATCCAGGAGAGTTGACAGCCCTGGGGTCAGTTCCGTGTGATGCACTGGTTGAGTCAACTCTCCCCTTGTGGATCCCTCCTTATTATAGACACGTGTACCACTGACCACAAACTCTGACTTTCAAAGAGATGGTAGATAGCAGAAAGAATTTACCACCAGATTTAAAAGTGAATGTAGAAAAAATGAAGCTTCAAAAGCCGCTATTACGCTGTACAAGCTCTAACGAGAAACATCATTTGGAGTAAACCACCTTGTTGTGTACTTTGGCAATATTCTCGACAGTATTTCGTAAGATAGGCTCAGTCATCTGTCAACTGTTATTATTAGGACTTTAAACTTTGTTGCATAGTTTGTTACATTGTATTAATTTTGCCAAACAGTTGCAAAACGTGCAAAAATCACCATTGCATTATATATCACGAGTACGTGTAGTTAAATGTACCATGAATGGAAAAGAATACAGTAAAACCCTGTGACTAAGAACCTAGATTTTCTAAGTTAGCCTAAACAGGTTCTTATTATAAGGGTAGTTAGTACAAGTTTAGCCTATGTAGGTTCATAAATAGGTTCTTATTTTCAGAAGAAAAAAATTCAATATAGCTAAGAGTATTTAGTGGTTCAGCTTATTCCTCATGTGAAATCTGCATACCATTACCTTGTGTTTGGAGTGATAAGGCACCTATGTCTCCAAAGAAGATTCTCAATGTTGACTCGTGTTATTTTCCCAAGTGTACAGCATTTTTTCATAGATTTTAGAAAATAAGAACCTGTTTCAAATTTTAGGCTAAACAGGTTCATATATAGAAGGGGATTAACTGGCAAATTTTAGCCAAAAAAATTCTTAAAATCCAGCTTCTTTGTTGCAGGGTTTTGCTGTCAATTATAAGTCATGCAGCCACTCCTCATTTTCGCTTTGTAATATTACTCATTAATTTTTGTTATCAGGTTATGCCGTGGGCCTATGGTAGATGTTTGGAAATATGTGTTGGAGCATGTCAGGTCCACAAGGTAAGTCAACTGTGAACAGTGCTTTAGGACTTTTACGCCCTTCTACTTTTATGCCATTTTCTAAATATCTGCTAGTTACAGTTGCATCAGTCTCCTGAACACTCCCAAATCCTCCCGAACTGCTGATATAATTGAATGGTATTGAATATTCTATTTAAAGTGTAGCCTACTGACCGACAACATACCTTCCAAACTCTCGTAAAATTGGGCTTCTTTTTTGTATGGTTTGCAGCGTGAACTCTCTCTTAGTGGTCACCTGTATAAAATGGACACCTCATCAAAGCAGACACCTAGAGTTGGTTCCTGTTCTTTCTTTATCCTTTAAGTTGATCCGCTCTAAGATGGACATTAATAATAAGTGCCTGTCCCAGTGGTGACCATCTTAGAGAGAGTTGGCTGTATATGATTCAGGAAAGTTTAAAATTAAGTCAATGCAGTCGCCAATATTATTATGCTTCCACTCAATTTGCTTTGCTATTTTGCCTGTGTTGTCAAGTGTCTGAAGGTTTACTGTGGCTGGTTAGTCATGGCGACCTCCTTTCTGCAGAGGAGAAACACATGCCCTCCACTGTCACTACCTTTACAGCACCTATGACTGATGTAATTGTAATTAAATTTTGATCCTGCTCGCCATATAGCCTCCAGCAGCTCAATAGAGCTTCCAAAACTAGAACTCAGAGTGTCGTGAGTTTATTTCTCACCTGTAGCTTGGAATTTTTTTCTGAGCTTTCTGGTATTTGATTTCTCCTTCTTCCAATAAGTATTGAAAAAAGTGATTTCACTTATTTTGAATTTTTTGTTTTTCCTGTATTTATTTACAGCACACATGTTTATTTTTTGGGTGTAGGGGTGGGAGAGAGGGCATCAATGTTTGACAAGAAGATCCTGATTTTGAAGGAAACTCAATTATAAACTCAAGCCCTCCTCTTGACTCTTACCTGGTAATTGATTTACTGGCAGAAACTTTCTATTGTCATTGGCCCAGTAGTTTCTTGAATGGTTCTACAAAACTGTCTCCAAAATGCTGCGTTTGACACAAGTTATTAAATAATAATATTAATAACTTCCTGCATAGGTCACTCTAGACAGGATGCAGTAACACGGCAACTGCCTGTCAATGGCTGCGTGAAGTAATAGGGCATTAGAAGCACTCTTGAGATGGTACAATTTATTGTACACACTGTATGGTGTAAAGGGTAGTAACAGCAAAAAAATCAAATGCAATGTAATGCAATAAGCCAAGAGCTCAGTATTCATGAATTTACATATAACAGAAGTTTTTTGACCAATGCCAAGTGAAGTCATTTTTACTGAGTTTTCTGTCATCTCACTGATTACTTTTATTCTTTTCTCTTTGGTGCAGAACTGTCCAGAAGATTTGTGGAAACTTAAAATTGTATCCTTTTTATGCTGTTGAGTTTAGATACTGTAATTTATCTAACTACACTGTACTGTGTAACAAATATGTATTGAGTAAAGAGTTATGATTTTGATGACTGAACTGCCTAGATTAGCCAATTCTACATAGAGATCAGTCAGTCATTATTTTTCATGAATTGAATGTGTTGTTGTCTGATGTTGAAGACATCTGCTCCGGTCATGAGGGGAATGACGATTCCATAAAAGTGCCACAAAATTAATGTCATAGTTCATAGGCTCCACTGTAAGTGAGAATATTAAATGAAAGTTTAGTTCTGTTTCAAGAGGCCAACCTGCCCAGTGAGGTTGCTTTTCCTTGATGATGTTTTCTTTGCCAAGCTAGGCAGCAGTTAATCCATGAGCAAACTACTCATTCAGCTGACCTAAAACCAGATGACAAACAAAGAGAACAGCTGAAGGAAAAACACAGCCAGTTAGCAAGAGAGCTTGTGGATGTCAGAAACAAGGTTCTTCATGTTGAGAAGGAAATCAAAGCAGTACAGAAAGAGATTCTTGAAGCAGGTGAAGTGACAAAAAAACTAACATTTATGATTGTTTTTTTTTTGTAGTACAGTCAGGATACCAAAAAAAGTACCCTCTGATTTGGATGCATACAACCTTATGTTTGGTAGAATAAATTTGTTATATTAAAGCAGTATTGTACATTTAGTACATTTAGTACATGCATTGCTGGAATAACAGTCTCTTGTTCTGCTGGTTATGGATTATTGCGATGTTGCTTGGAGCAGTATTGGGATGGTTGGAAAAAGAAGAGCACTGTAGGATTGTTTTGAAGAGACATTGTCTGATAAATTTAAAGTGCTTCCCTTTTATTGTCCAACAAAATTTTGTTAAAACAGGTTAGTGTTTTTGAAGATTATAGTTTTGAACAGCCCAAAAACCTACATGTACATGCTCCCCAAACAAATAACGGCAAGGAAGTCTTTATTTTAATGGATCTAAACTTTTTAATAATATTGCAAGTGAAATGAAGGATTCTAAGTCAGTTGTGATTTTTAAAAACTCGTATTTGGAATTATATAGATCAAAAGTTTTTTAGTTACTTGTATTACTTGTATTAGTTTAGCTTTTAAATGCATTTTAATTGCTGTATTTTAGCTTTTTTAAACAATTTTTTAATCTTGTTGTATTTTTAACTTTTAGTGTATTTTTAGTTACTGTTATTCAGGTTAGTTTATATATATATATATATATTTTTTTTTTTCCAGGGCCCTCATTGATAGCAGCATTTTATGCTGAAGAGATAACCCTGGCTAAATAACATAATTATATTATTATTATTAAATTTGGAAATAATTTATTGTGCAACAATTTTTCATGATACAGTTAAAATTTGAACCTACAATTTCAACCTACATGTTCATGCAACATGTTCATGTTATCAGGTACCTTAAAATACCTTGTAAACCTTTTACTATTAATGATGTTCAGCTTATTTTAAAAGGTGTCTAAGGTCAGCAGGCAACCGTGTTTGTTTTGAATAACAACTTAACTTCTATGTGATGCAGCAAATGAAAAGAAATTGCGGATCAGTGATCCCTGCCCAACCATAAGGGCCTTACATTTTAGAAACACAAGTATTGAAGCAACTACTTTGTTTGATTTACAGAGGAGAGCTATTCAGAAAATGAAAGAGAGATTTCAGATCTTGCCAAGAGAAATGCATTGTTGAGTGCCTACTCCAAACGGTGCCATCTGTCAAAAGAGCTGTACATGGATTTGGTCAAACAAATAAATGGCAGGATAACAGTCTGTAAAGAAGTTGCAAGGTGGGTTAAACCACCACAGATGAACTATAAAACCTCCAGTAAAGTCTGTCTAAAAGACAGTGCTAAAATCCTTGTTCTAAGCCCCTACCTGTGTACGTCCAGGATTTGAGTATGAACCTTGATTGGCCTACTAAAAATCCATTATTGTTTTGCCAGTCAGGTTGAAGGGAAATTCAAAACCCAGTTTCGGTTATTAATTTTGTTGATTCTCTCGGTGGCCAAGAACAAAGATCTTGGCACTGCTTTGCACAGGATTAGATTAAGTCTGCAACTCAGGCTTGTTAAACCATACGGATTAAATTCCTGAAGTGATTACATTGTACGATTAAATTTCTCTTTGATTTAACATTTTCCTTAAGGTTGGGAAACATGAGCATTAACAAAATCTTACGCAGTACCCACATGGACTGTAGTAGCAACTTTCATTGTAGGAACTATGGTACACATTAAAAATAACGCCAATATCGGAATGTGGAAAGAAATAATTTCTATATCGCAACAGAGACATTAAGGCTAAAATAATAATAATATAAATAATATATAATTATATATAGTGCTAAAACTATATACATATTCTAAAGCATTAATAAAAGGTGACAAACACTATAAACACATAACAGACAGTACACTTAGAAAAAATGACAATAAAACACTGCAATCACTGTACACAAATTGGTTTACTGGGTAAATACCAAACGACATAAAAAATTCTTTAGAGCCTGCTTGTAACCTTGAACACTTTGGAAACTTCTGATAGCTAAAGGGAGAGTGTTCCACAGTGAGGGACCAACACGTGCGAAGGCCCTGTCCCCATGCATCTTGAACTTTGTTTTGGGGACCTTTAATTCATAGCTGCTATTAGATCTTAAGTTGGAGGAACCACTCTCTTTGAAACTTAGAAGCTTCTTTAGGTAGACAGGGGCCACACCAAAGAGAACTTGGTGGACGAGTAGCAATATTTTAAATTGAATCTGGTAGGGCACTAATAACCAATGTCTCGCAAAATGTCCCAGCAAGGAGGAGTAACAAGATACTGCTTTCAGTATTTGCAGGTTTGTTGAAATTTTTTAACACATTGTAAAATCTCTGCCAGGAAAAAGGTGTTGGATCCAACTTATTACACATCACAAGGGATCATTAGCGGAAGCTCTCAGATGTTTGGTTCTGTAGAAGGACGCTCTACTCCAACTGGACTGGAATCAGCCTCTACAGTAAGGAGCAACATTTCCTCTTACTAATTATTATATGGCTATAATAGTATGCATGCTCTGATTGGCTGTTTTCTTGTAATGACCGCGCATCACTACATTGTATTTACATCTGTAGCTAGGTATGTGTCCAAGGCATATACAATCTGTGTTTAACTTTGATAGTAGACGTCCTTATGGACATCCATGTTATGGTCAATTGACAGCTGTCAAAAAGGGTATCCACTGACCAGTGTCACCTGACTGTATTGCGGGCCCAATAGTACAACTCATTGGGTGACTTGTTTTTTTAAAGTTATCCGCTGACCAGTTGTTGGTTTTAATTATTGATAGTAGGCTCAGGTCCATAATAAAAAGGCCATATAATAAATAACTTATTAACCTCTTTAGTTCGGTCATTACAGGGAAATCTCAGTCTGTGGATGATATTAATTAATAATTATTTATAATTATTATAATATTTTTTTGGTAAAAACCTGGCCCCATAGGACCCCTTTTTGAATACCATATATTAGAAATACACGTATTTTTCTGCCATACACAGTGATCCAGCTTTGTAAATAATATTATGGCAGTAAAACTACATGTACAGATATGTTTTTACTTATTGGTTGATAATTTTATTATTTTGGCAATAGGCCAATTTACAGTAGTTTTTTAAGCAACCTCGCCCTTCAGTGGAACAGAGGCCGGTGGTGATTTCAGTGCCATTCAACCTTATTTACACTTGGAAAGGAGTTAGGTTTCTCTCTTCCCAAAGACAGTCAGTACACTGCACACAACCCAGTACACAACTGTATGATTAAGTTTTTCTATCATTTTTTACACAACAGAGATCTGTTAGGGAATTGTGTGAGAAAATTGGCTCATTCTTGCATGAAGTGTGCAAAGCAGAAGAGGAATCTGGAAGGTTGGTTCATTAACCATCATCATCATCATTATCATTATCAATAGTAATAATAAATGAATAAATATTAATAATTTATTAATATTTAAAAATATTTCACAGTGAGTGCAGCAAACAATGAAATTTTTTTCGAGAAGAGCCGTCTCCAAAAATTCTATTTATTATATAAACGCCAATGAAATACCAAACCATTTGACTTTAATAGGTTTTTGTTGCAATTGTTGAGCCATAGTAATGGTGATCTTTTCAAGTGAAGATGAATGTTGTTTTAACGTGTGAAGATGTTGTGTTTTTCAAAATCATTGGTGTTAATTAATAAATCGTTTCTTTCAGCTGTCTAAAGGTGATCGATTTGATTTTATGTCCATTGCTCAGAAAACGGATAATTTATGTCCCTCAACGGATCTGAACCTAACCTGCGCAGTTCTACTGAGGTATGATAACCAATCAGCATTTTTTTCTTTTGGTAAACTATTTTTGGTGAAAGAAGTTTGAAAGTAACCACATTATGCCTCACTCTTCTATAACCAGTCTGTTCACAGACACTGCTGGCTTAGTAACAGTTCAAAATAGTAGCTACACATCTAAAGAAACATCGGCAAGGAGTGAGAGGGGTGGCGATAAAATAACAAAAATGATGATATTTTCCTCGTTTTTCCCCAAAGAATTGATGGTGACAGTCAAAAAAGGATTAAAGACCAGCTGTGGACTGGAGTAGAGGTTTTTATTGTTTTGATCTTTTTTTGGAGGGGTGGAGGGGGGAGGGGCATTATGTTAGTCATATCCATCCATTGCCTGCAGTTGCTCTAGAAGGCTAAGTCATGTAAAAGGAGCTTTAGATTTTTTAATTGCGGAACGTTTTGGCGTCGATTACAACTCTATTCATGGAGATCTCCAATTGGACAGTTTTGGGGTCCCACACCGATTGGAGGTCAATCGCAATCAAGCATGTGCTACTGATGACGTTGAGTCCCACCACAATTTCTGTGCAATCAGAAGTTTATTCTCTTTTACAAGGGTTCTGCATAAAGAAATCTCCATTTATAAGAAAGCAAACACCAACACTTTCAGAATGATCTCCTTTAGAGGCTTAATTTTAATTTTTCCTACAAGCATTCCCGTCCCTATTATATCGAAGGCAGATCTCCCTCCCCTTTCCCTGGCGGATATCACAAGGAACAACCTCTTACTTTTCTTTCTCATTTAATTTTTTAAATTATGCTATACCCGATAAAGGAGGAAAGTTTCTTCTCCCTTAAGCAAGTTCGGGTTACAGTGTATCTCTACCTTCAGGCGTATACAAAATTCTCTTATGTACATTATGTGCCAAAATAAAGCATTAGTCTCTTTAAGGAAAACCTTGATATGAGGGGCACTCAAATATTATCAGCACTATCCTTCAAATTACCGCACTTCCCGTTACCGTACAGTCAGTTACTGTGTGGCAGCAGAATTAAGCGGAGATATGAATTTACCCTATTACCTGTTTTGCCTCGGTTTTACTCCTTATAGAATATCCTGTCCCAGCACACTGCACAGGACATCATTACATCGTTATCTCGAATCACACAGGACTCTGCCGTGAGTCTGCAGGAAGTGTCGGCAAGAATTGATCTGAAAAAGGATGCAGAGGAACTTAAGTATGTCTTGATTCAGTTCAACTTGACTCCCCATACATGTAGTTACAGCTAAGGTTCATTTCCGTGTTTGTACCTGGGGCTGCCACAGTCAAGGAAAATCAGGGAAAAAGGCGGTTTCTTTTGGAAAAAAATAGAAGTTTATTGAAGTGTTAATATACAAGTACAGGCAAACTCTAGTAGCGTTGTATGCACATATCCGCCTGTTAATTTGTTCTTTGTGTTTTTTGTTTGTTTGCTTGTTGTTGTTGCTTTACCAGCCGTTTCTTTATAAATCGAAGCCCTTTGTTACGTAAAGTAGCCTAGATTTTTTAAAGAGTTATATATACATTTTTTTTCTTTTACCAGGTTCAAATATGAAAACTCTGGCAAACTGACAGACACGTCATCACCGCCATCCTTATTTCAAAGTGTTCATCAGCTTATAGAGGTCAGTTATCTGCGACTGTAGTTAGATAACTTCTACCAATTTGCTGCTTTTTAAGCAGACATCTTCGAACGGACTTGCTAATTTTGAACGTAAGACTGCTTCGAAGATTTCGGCTCCACACTAAGACGGGTAATTTAGCACAATTTTCTGAAGACTTCTTCGTTATTTTGTCGAACACTCAGTAAGCATGCGCTGAGGATTATCGTTCTCGAGATTCGAAAGTCGCACGAATCTCAATGTCATTTTTCTCAACTTTATTATTATTATTTTTAGGAGGGTCAGGCTGCACACTTTCAAAGATTTTTAGAATCTGAAAAGGGGCTGAACGAGGCTTGGAGAGGCCGAAAAAGACTTCAAACACTACAACAAGAACTGGAGGCAAAACTAGCCTCTTGCTATAAGGATTCGCCGGGAAATATCGACTTGGCGAGGTTTGTAAGCATCGATCTTTGCATCCTACGGGACGCATGCGCCTTGAACTATTTTGCGTCTTTGGCAACTTTTTGGCGTCAGGGACGAAGGACGCAGAGGTAACACAATCACTGCTCTTCTACTCGTCCCCGGGGCCTGGACGAGTAGAAGACTTTGCATTCCTTTTACGAAGATTGTGAACAGAAAGACAGTTGTAAATCGGAAAGATGGCCGATTCGTGTGAAAAGTATGCGGCTTCAAAAATGTTCGGATTCGCGTGGACGCAGCCTTAAAGGGAATGTTTCTCAGCGGTCAGCGAGCAAGATGGACGCGTTTTTGATGTAGCGTTGAAATCTCTTAATTTTTGCCTCTTTTGGTCGTGTTTTTTTTTTTTTTCATTTTTTTCGTTGTTTTCGTTATATTATGGCTGTGTACGTTACATGTGAGGAGTTAGACAAGATCTTGGTTCTTTGGTGTACTTTATATGCGGCTAATTGTGTGCGCAGCCGTTTTTTTTTTTTTGCTTCTTTGTTTATTCTTTTGTGGATTTGTTTTTTTTATTACAGTTTAAATATTTTTCTTTGTTTGTTTATGTGTGCATTTGCTTATTCATTACAACTTAAATATCTAGTTACTATTTAAATGTTTTGTTTTGTTTTGGTGTTTGCGCTTGGCCCAGCCGCTCAGCGCGATTTGCTTTTGCTTTTTCTGCGTGGCTGTGCTCTCTTGTTTTCGCAATTATTTCCTTTAATTTACTTTACTCCCTTTTCTGTACCAAGAGTACAATAAAGGTTGTTGTTGTTGGTGTTTCTTTATTGTGGAATTTAGGTTGTGCTGAAGGTATAAGTGATTTTTATCCTCAGAGTTTTACATCACAATGAACTGGAACTAACGGCATCCAAAGCTTCGCTGGACTACATGAAGGGTGCAGTGGATGAGTTAACCAACTCAAGAAACGAAAGACTCAGAGCAAGAGAAATTTTACTCATGAAACATAAAAAGATTGAAGACTTTGAAAAGCTGGCTGTAAGTAGCCTGTTCATAGACGTTGGTTTATTTTTCTTTTCGTTCTTTTCGAAAACGTCGGCGAGCGCGAGAAAGAAAAATAAAGAACGTCTGTGAACATCTTTGGGAAAAAAGAGGTTTATTGAGTCCCTCCCCCATGTCAAACCGTATATTTTCTTCTTTCCCCACCCCTACCCTCTGGCGCTGGCGGTCACTAAATCCCCCGCGGTTTTTATTTTTTATCACGCGCGCTCAACGGATTTTGAAGAGAAAATAGAGGGTCTGTGAACAGGCTGGGCCGTAAATGAATGTCACTATTACAAGTATGGCCTGTTTCAAACGTCGTGCTACTGCCGTGCTCGACTGTAGCTCTACTGCAGCATGACACTAGCACGACTTGGTTTCAGACGTCGAATTTCAGAATTCAGTCGAATAGAACGGCTGCTGCCGAAAACTAAACACAAAAATAAAGAAACGGTTAAGCAAACTTTTAAATATATTCTACCGTACTTATAATTTATGAATTGAGTTCGGCACGGCAGTAGCACGACGTTTGAAACCAAGTCGAGCTAATGCCGTGTAGCACGACAAGGCTTGCCGTGCTACAAGGCAGAAGCACGACTTGGTTTCAAACGTCGCGCTACTGCCTTGCTAAAGTCGAATTTAATTCGATCAATTTAGTTTGGCACGGCAATAGCACGACGTTTGAAAGGGGCCTATGAAGCTCATGCTCACTTAAAAAAGTTAAGTTACAACTAGTGAACACAGAACGTTCAATTCGAAAATGAAATAGATGTTATGTTCAATTTGTGTCCAACAGCAAGCCAAACAGGCGCTGATTCAAGCTCTTGTGAAACAAAACTCGAGTGCCAGGGCAAGGGTGGAAAAACATAAACAAGAGGTATGGTAATTTACCGCTACAAATAAGTAGTGGTGTTTATCATGTTTTAATACTGGACTAAAAAAAACTGTGACGTCGTAAATAGATGTCTCTCTTTGCGCTGCTATTCAGAGCCAAGTTATTTGAAGGCCGATTAGCGCTAACCCGGTTTTAACTTTTGTTGTCGTTCAGATGCATTTTATCGGATTATTTTCTCTTATCATATTTAGAACATTCAATCATCAACTTCTAGAATGAAAGAATTAAACTGAATGTTCTTTTTAAGCTTTGCTATCTGAATTTAATTTTCGCACCAGCCCCGGGTTATCTTCCTAGCCTTAAACAAAACAACCCTGCCCAGCTATTTTATATATCTATTTAATAAAAACTGAATCGTTGGATAATGCAATTCTAGAGCTCTGATTGGCTTAGCCATAATGGTATATGAGCCGTTATACCATGCTCTCCAAATAATATGGTAACTGTACGCCTCTGCTCAAAATAAAAAACTAGCTGAAAATCGGTTGTGTTTACGAATAAAGTCGGGAAGAATTCTCGATGTTTTGTGGGCGTTTTAATAAAACAATTATTCCACTCGCGCTTGTTGGATATGAGATAATTATAGCCAACTCATATCCAACGCGCACTCGTGGAATAATTGTAAAATATATATATTTTGTTTCCCGACTTCGTCGTTGGGAAATACTTTGATAGAGGAAAACCTGCAGAGTATACGTTGTCTCTACCTGCATCAGGGTACACTATATGTTCACACCCAACAGTGGAAGACTGCCTGCTACGAGAAAGCAAAATACAAACAAGATGGCTTGATTTTTATCCTGTTTCTTCTCAGCTGCTACAGTATATACAAGACAGGATCTGTTCACACGAGGCGCATGTGGTCGCCATGGCAAAACGACTGCAAAACAGCGTGACCCAGGAGGTGGATCGATTTGCTGCTTTGCCGCTAGATCAGTTACACTACTCAGGGCTTGATAGGTCAGTAATGCAGTTCTGAGTTGAGGAAAGCCTTGGAACACACTAGCTAGGTCTACTATTTTGGTTTTGCACAAATGTGTCCTTTACGGGTTGGGGGGGGGGGGGGGGACTCTCTGTAACTGAAGCTAACTACGTATTCTCTTGTTACTCACTTCACGTTTTCCTTTTCTTTTCGCCCCCCTCCCCCCGGTTCCTGTCCACTATTTTTAATTTCTTCTGCTACTTGATAAAACCTTTGCTATCTGCGGGTTTGTACCCTTACTTAAGAGTGCGTTTGATTGACCTCATTCTGGATAGGAGTACAATTTCTGTTTTAGCAACTTTCAGTGGTTGTTGACATTTTCTGACGTGATATTTGTCTTATACGTTTTTATTTCTTTTAATGAGTTCTAAGTGCGTGAAAACTGAAGCTGCAGAATTGTTGGCGCCAGTTAACAACATAATTTTGCTCGGGCGCGGAGCGTTTTTAACATAAAGGAACCTTTGGATAAAGTATTTTGTACATCGAATCTTGTCCATGTTTCAGAATCAGAGGCTATGACGATCGTTGTCTCGAACTCACCCCAGTCCGCGTTTTATCTAGGCGCCTCTTCTCTACCCTATACGCTACGTTTTATGTTGTACGTGAAGACCCTGTGCCTTGTGACCTTGTACGTTAGGTGACGGTTTTTCTCATCTCTTTTAGCCCAAGGCGTGTTCCTGTTTCCGAACTGTCCATCAATCGTTTAGAGCGTCCGTCAGAAAGTCCTGGAGGAGGAACTGTTAGGTCCGTGTTGAACAACTTGGGCTTTCCAGCTTATAAGGTAACGAGTCAGTCAGCTCACTTCAGGTACAGTAGGGCAGTTCTTTGCAAAGCCATCTTTCAGTGTATTCTCAGTGAGATCAGGCCTCCACATAGGAGATGCCTCACGGTAGGCCCCGCTAAAAGTCCATTATTAGGGAGCTTAAGCAAAGGCGCGTTTGAGAGACGCACGTCTTTACACTTGTAGAGACGATTTAACCGAAAATTTTGGCAAAACCCCCTGCTCAGGAGTGTAAAAAGTCTACTTCCGGTTGACGTGCGTCGCTCAAAAAAAAAAAGCCTCTTTGCACGAAACGGTCGCGTGGTACAAAAAGCACCTTGCTGGATGGCACACGAGGCAGAGGGGCAAGAAAAACAAAGAGACTACATCATTCAAAAACTGTAATATCCTTTCCTTTCAAGGTCCAAAGAGTCGTTTGCCATCCAGCAAGGTGTATTTTACTTTGTGACCGTTTCGTACAAAGGCCTTGCGTTGTCCCTACACGGTTTTTTCCCAGACCTTCTCGGTCAATGTATTTCGGTGACGTATTCGAGGAGAAAGCGCGGGAAACGCCTCACTTCTTCACTCGGACCGCGTGATCCGAAACGCGTTGACCCCGCAGAATAACGAGACCTAAGAACTAGGCAACAAGGGAAACGTTCTTAACTTGTTAAGTTAAGCGACAATGGGCAACTGGGCAATTTTTCCAAAAAAATCACACTAAAGGGAGTATGCGCTTAAAGTTGACTTCCTGTAAACCTTCCCTCACACGTTTCCATAGAGACTTTAAGGTGAAAGCGGAAAACAAAAGAGCAAAAGATGTGTTTCTTTAGCAACGTTTGGTAGCGGAACTTAATTTAGTGTTAGCAACTAACGAAAAATGAAGTTTCATCCTTAACATGTGCTGGATTGATTCGTGTATTTTACAAGTATCGAATGGTGTTGTAAAACCCGGCTATGTCTCCTTCTTGTTAACTTATCATTTATTTCTTATTTAGGCCCCTGAAGAACTGTTACCAACAACAATGAAGTTAAAGGGAAAAGGTAAGCTTCTATTTCTCGATTGTGAGCGCAGCTTATTGCTCCTCCTTTAGTTACCCAAAATCCGGAATTGACAATTGAAATGGTTGTGTTTAATTACAGCAAAGCTTTTTGATAGCGTATGTTTAATGTTTTAAACAACATTTTTTTGAAATATTTTCACCCTTGAAGATTAAAACTAGTTAGGTTCGGTTAGAGAATTTCTGCAGCAGTTAACTTGTCTTCGTTTGTTCTTAAATTGTTACGCGACAACAGCAGAAAATTTTTTAATTGATAAGGGCATAGTTAATAGAGGAGACTGGATATGAATACCCTGGGTTCCAGAGGATATTTTTTTCTTATCGATACTGATCGTTCGCGGCGAAGCCGCGTCAACGAGGCGCGAAGCGCCGAGAGAAAAAAGGAGCCTTATCAAATCTTAAGCACAGTTTATTTCATATTAGGTATTTTTAAAACGGACCTCTGGAGCCACGGTAGGTTATGAACGGCGCAAAAATCAAAGTTGAAAACAACGGTGCTGTAGTTTATGTTGGAAGCTCCCTGACCCTGCACAATCCTTTGTTTTTTGTTCACAAATTGTGACTGAATAAATTAATGTGCTTTCAAAATGACAGGAATGCTAATGAACTTTGTGCCTGGTCAGGTCCAGAAAAAAAGCCAACAAAATCATATAACGAAGGGGTCTAACGCAGCCTCCTCCTCAGGCGCTTCGTTTTTCGCATGGCAGAGACGAGCGCGAAACGAGTGACTGGCGATGAGCCACAAGGGACCATGGGAAGGGTACAAACGGCAGGCGAAGCGCGTCTCGCCTGTTGTCTCCTTCCCGCCTTCCTTTGCGCGAACATTTTCATCAAAAGAGAGACGTCTGGGTACGAGGCAGGGTCTAACGGGTGTCATAACCATTCCACTTAAATAACTATGATATGGCGGAGACAACAGCCAAACCTTTGATTGTAACGCAAATAATAACAATTTACATGACATTTCTTTACTTTAAAGTTGAAGACACTCGATCTCTTGCTCAGTCACGTGACGGTGTGGTATCAGAGGTTAATGGGGACCAGTCATGTGCAAAGATGATTACAAAATTAAACGGTAAGTGAACCTGTTTGAAACTTAAACGGTTTTTGCTCGTCACGCAAGTTTTTTGGTTTGTTTGAACCGAAATGAAATGCTAGCGTTTAACTCCGTTTGAGCGTTAGCCAGTTTATAGAACGAAATTTCTCTTCACCCTCCCCTCCCCTCCCCTTGCTCCCTCATGGGCACGGCGCGGCACCATAGTTTCTCTTGTCAAATTAGAGGCTATTCACGTCACACAAAAGCAAAGGTGTTATTGTGCGACGGACGGCAACCAGAAGTGGACTTTTTGCATTCTTGAGCAGTGGTTTTGGCGGGTAAATTGCCTCTATGAGAGTAAGCACCCTCTGCAATACAAGTAAAGTAGCTACAAGTTATATTAAAGGGGAAAAGAACTCAGTTTCGGTTTTCTTCCTTTGGTCATAAACGCCTGCAAGTTCCCTTATCACTTATTTCCAATATGGCGGCAAAACGAGAAGTCCCTGGGGACAAGGTTGGTAACAGCTCTAGTACTGTTGTGTAGGAATACACAGAACTTTTAACTTTTCCCCCCTTTACATTTTTGCATTTTGCCTTGTATGTTGGCACTCGCTACATTTAGGCCCCGTTCACACGTATCCGGATATTTTTTAACGGATATCTTTTTCGCCGTTTTAGCATTCCGTCCACAGGTAAACGACGTTTGCGGGCACCAAATCAAAAACGTAGGTCGTTTTCATGTGGACGGACGAAAACGGGGGTTTTTATGAAAACGAAAATGTGATGCATCATACAGTGCACGTTTTGCAAGCGAGACGCTATCGTTTTAGCGTTTTCGTGTGAATGGGCAAGAATCGTTTAAATACGCAACGTGTGGATGCGTACTGTTTTTGTAAAGGGAGAAATAATCTCCGTTTTTCACATATAACTAGACACGTTTAGACGGGGCCTTATTTCCCTGTTAATAACGCCTGGAAACCTACTGGTTTGTCCAGCACGCTGGTTTGTTCTTTGCATAACTCTGAATTTGTCCACCTGACAGGTTTGAGACGCGAGGTTTCTGAGCAAGATAGCACACAACTTGATTACGTTATGCCGATGGTACAGAACGGGCTCAACAAAACCACCAAAGCTTTGTCAGAATGCATTTCCGTCAAGGACGTTGTCAGTTCGTGGTATGATTTTCTCATTGTTTTAGTACACCGTAAATGGGTCGTTACTTCGGGAATTGCAGCATTTAGAAATCGCTCTATCTTCGTGAGATTGATACTTCATGGAGTTCGGTATGTTTTCGGGGGTCAAAATCTGTTAACGTTTTAGACAACTTTTAAACAAAAATTGACGCCATGGCAAATGTAGTTAGAACAAAATTTGTGCCGGCAAATTTTCCTAATTTTCTGACATCTAACATGTCCGTCCATATTTTTTGGATCCAACTATTTACAATTTTCCGTCTATCTCCCGGTGATAAGCAAATTATTGGAGCGTTTTTTTGACTTTGTTTCTTCCTTTCTCTCTCCCCCCCCCCCTTGTTCATTTACTTTTTTTTCACTGATCCTTCTTTATCTTCTGAGTAAAAACAAAGAAAAAGGGACAAGAATCAACTCGGTTTTCGTGGTGGTAAACCTGTGGCAATGCATCCATCTTTGCAATCAAACCCTGATTTGGCTAAAGGAGAAGGTTGTGTCGAATTGTGTGGAAACCAAGTCCGTCATTGAACAAATTGAATTTGCCTTTGAAAAATTCTTGGAAAAGAAGACACATCTGTATGAACCCACGCCGCAACCGCCTGGTTAGCTCAGTTGGGAGAGCGCCGGTCTGCTGAGCGGGAGGTGCCGTGTTCAGATCCCTGCCGGACCAACACTCAGGGTCTTTAAATAACTGAGGAGAAAGTGTTGCCTTTGCAATCAATGACATCCACAAATGGTTAGACTTTCTAGAATTCTCGGACAAGGACGAAAAACCGTAGGTCCGGTCTCACGGCTCTTTCACTTATCTGGTTCTTGTGGGACGTAAAAGGACCTACCCTACTGTTTTAGAAGAGTAGGGGACGTCGTACATCGGTGGTGTGGCCAGCCTCTTCTAAGCCGGGCGGGTTATGTGTAAGGAGACACTTAAAATTGGATCCCCGCTCTGATTTGTGTTCCGCACCATATGGTGGGAGTGATTAAATAAATAAATAAGTAAATAAATAAACCACATAATATGATTGCCTTTTTTGCCTAGGTGGGAGCAGCCAGCACAGTTTGTTGTCCCGTGGGCGATGGTTGATGATATGAATATGAGGCAGTGGACGGACCAGTGGACACTCTCATCCACTCGTTTACGGCAACTTCAGATGACGAGCCACTGACGCTAAATGCTGTGTAAATCGATTGTCTGAACAAATAAATGATACAATTAAAAATGTATTTTGTACTTATTTGCGCACTCTGCTTTTAATTTTTTTTTGCGCATCATTGTACTCAAAAGCCCAGTTTTGTACTGTTTGTAGGAAAAAAACGTGTGACTAATTTATGGTATGAACAGTACTGATCTTGGAGTTGACTATCCGAAAGTAAATCTTCGTTTTAATTAAGCCCCGTGCTGAGATAATGAACATGAATTAACAAGCTGTTTCAAAATAGACCATTTTTTATTTAGCTCCCGAGGCTTTGAGGTAAAAAAACAAACGAAAAGAAATGTGTTCACCCACTCAAGGTGACTTCTTTCGTTTTATTTATTCCCTCACGCGTCGGAGCCGTTGGAGCTAAGTATATATGTAGTACAAAAAATCGAAGATGAGAAAATGCACCTTTTGGTAATCACTATTATATTTGTTTTCAGTGGCATAAGGAAAAAGTAAGAACTTACAAATAAACAATTTTGGATTACCCTTATTATTGAGAAAGTTATCGCGCCACGAGCGTGGATAGGATTCTACGACGGGATACGAATCCACGCGTGTCGCGATTGTCCTTAAATGGGCTGTCACGAGGAAAATGCTGTTTTAGGTCAATTCTGTGCTGAAGTCAGTACTTAGTGCCTCTACCTATACACAAAATGCTGTTGTAGAGTTATGAAGAAGATATCACTCAAATCTCATGGGGATGCAGTAACCAGTAGTGATAACAATTTGGGGGGTGCATGATTTTTCAGGCATATCACTAATTGAAAAGGTTGGCCCACCTTTTTCATGTTTTTTTAAGTTTCAGTCCATGTCAATCCTTGCCATCCGGCGTAGCAACAAAGGACAGAAAACAGTTTTAATCTCACAAATGAAAGGTTTCGATCCCTGAAGCATTATTGTCATTTCCCAGTCTGTATAATATATAAACTTTAGTTCGTCCTAAAGCGAAGGCGCCCGGCCTTATATGTGTGTTCAGAGATGGCTGAGATATTGACATACGAAAACAAACATGGAGTCGCGTCTATGATATTTCTTTCAAATGCGGCAAAGTACAGAAGGTGTATGTATAAACGGATTAAGGGACGGGACGAGGGACATACGGCATTCATGAACTTTTTACGGGTGATCTAAGCATCACGCAGGGGCACCCAACGTCAATTTTCGGAAAATATCTGTTCTGAAGACGATTTGAGATCTAGAATTTTTGGAACATTTGTTGTGAAATTTCTCGCTTGCCTGCTTCTCCTGGGATTTTCGAACATCTGAAAAATTGTATAATTACCCACTTTTAGTAATGAGATGTTTGATCGATATGGTAAATCAGTAAAGCACTTTACAATACCTTGTTTAACTGACTGGTGGTGGTGTGTAGGCGAGATATCAATAAGTGTGCGCAGGTTTTCTTGTAGTACAGGAAGGCATCCTTAGCTTGAATACCCAGATGTTAGGACAAATACGCATGTAATACAATTCTATTTTCGCATGTTCACCAAATTCTAACCTAAACATTTGTGACCACATTGCTGCTCTCCAGTCAAATTTCTGAAAGTCTCCGTGAGTATCAAATTTTGTTTCATGTGAATAGTTCAAGTTTTAAGTGCATGCACCAATTCAAATATGCACTAACAACTGGTTACAGTTCCGTGTTAAGCCGCGTTTGAGTGAGATGTACGGAAGGAAACTGCTTCAGTTTTAAGATCCTTTTAAGAATAACGTTTCATAATCCGTGAGACAAGTTTGATTTCAAAAAGGAGCCTCAGATAGTAAAAAGGAAGTTTGTGACAAATATGAAAAAAATAGCACAGAAATCAGAGAAGTTAAGATTACTAAATAAACCAAGGTCAAAGACTTCCGACTTCCAACTTCTTACTTTTACAGTCTGTCTTCCAACTTCCGACTTCCGATTTGGGATTTCTAACTACCAAATTCTGTCTCCCAACTTCCGACTTCCGACTTCCGACTTCCGACTTGCGATTTCCGACTTCCAAATTCTGGCGTCCAACTTCCGGGTTCCGACTTGGGACTTTCAACTTCAGAGTAGATTCGATCGATTTCCACTGCTCGGTGCCGTTTGTTTCAAAACCCAAACAAACCGCACTTTTTTCCCTCTAGCTAACAAGACAGAGTAGATATGAAAACATACACTTAAGTTAAGACTGGCTCAGACATTTTTCAAACTTACTTTGCTTTATAGAGACAAAATGATTTTGGAGGTAATTTTGGAAAAATACCATCTTTTCAGAGGAATAAAATCAGCAGCCCCACCCCCCTCCCTGTACTGTCGCACTTTGTAATAATCGTCGCACTTTGTAATACCTGTCGCACTTTGTACTAAAATTGTCACACTTTGTAATACCTGCCGCACTTTGTAATAACACTTGTCGCACTTTGTAATAAAAAAGCTGTG